ACTCTGTGTCACTTTTCACTTGATGTCATGCGTGACTGGGCCCTTCATACGAACGAAGCATATCCAACAATGAAGGACAAAGTCAGCGTGCTGCAGAAAATGGCAGGCTTTGAGACCCGCAGCGATGCTCTATTCCACAGCTACCTGGAGCTCATCTACGACATCTACACAGAACCATCATTGCGCAGGAGTGATTTGACGTCTCGACTGGAACAATGTTTCCTCCTTGGGTGTCGTGCTCGAGATCCTGTGCTCAGAGAACGATTTATGGACCTTCTAGACAGTAGCATTCCTCGTTCTCTTCAGGGTCGTCTAGCATATATCTTGGGAGTCCAGAGTTGGGAACCTCTCGCGGACCATAACTGGATCTATCTTGCTCTCCATCTCCTTCTCGGGGCTGTTGACGGCGAAGTGCCATTGATTTCGGAGCGGAGGATCAACATGGTACCCTTAAATGGCCACTTCGTTGCTCGACAGAATGCAGCGTCCGTCGTCCGCGCTATGCAGAGATTGGCATTCCTTGACCCTCAAGTTGCGCATGACACTTGGGTATCAGTCTTTCCCGCGGCGTGGGCGTGTCTTTCCCGTCGAGAACAGGCGGACATGACACTCCACATGATCAACCTGCTGAGCAAGGACTTCCATGCCAAGCAGCTCGAGCTGCGCCCCAACGTTATCCAGACTCTATTGGGCGGTATTCACGCCTGCTCACCTCCTATGACTCTGCCACCCTACCTAGTGAAATACCTCGCAAAATCATACGGCGCATGGCACGTTGGGATGGAGATTTTGGAGACTTCTCTGGACTCCGTCAAAGACGATGATCCCACTGTGAAAGAGACGGTTTCCGATTCGCTCGCAGACGTTTATGCTGAATTAACGGAGGAGGATGTGTTCTATGGTCTTTGGCGCCGGCGAAGCCTCCAACTTGAGACGAACATGGCGCTTTCGTTTGAACAGAATGGCATGTGGGAGTTTGCCTCCAACTGTTATGAAGGGGCGATGACGAAGGCGAAGAGTAGCCAAATCCCATTCTTAGAAGTGGAGTATTGCCTTTGGGAAGACCACTGGATGCTCGCAGCAGAAAAACTCCAGCAGTGGGACACATTGCATGATTTGGCGAAGAGCGAAGGAAATCAAGAACTCCTACTTGAGAGTGCGTGGCGCACGAAGGATTGGGCCGATCAGAAGGAATCCCTGGAGGAGCAGATCAACCAGCTACCCGACATCGCGACTCCGCGAAAGCGAGTCTTCGAGGCATTCATCGCTCTTCTGAAAGTGCCTGGTGCGCTGGAAAAGAACACCGAATTCACGAAGATCCTCGAAGATGCAATGCAGCTGTCGCTGCGTAAATGGGTTGCTCTTCCGTTCCACATGTCGGCTGCTCACGTTCCGCTGTTACAACACTTCCAGCAGTTTGTTGAGCTCCAAGAGGCCGTCCAGATTTTTGGTTCTCTCTCTACAACTACCGCTCAGAATCTGGAGAAGAAGTCCTCGGATCTCAAGATGGTTCTACAAGCTTGGCGAGAGCGCCTTCCTAACCTGCAAGACGACATTAGCATATGGAGCGACTTGGTTGCTTGGAGGCAGAATGTTTTCAACGCAATCAACAAGGCGTATATCCCTCTTATCTCTAATACCAACCAGAGCAATAATTCCGCGACAAGCAACTTCAATACCTCGGGTTATCGCGGGTACCATGAAACGGCTTGGATCATCAATCGCTTTGCCCATGTTGCGAGGAAGCACGATCTTCTTGACGTCTGCTTCAGTTCATTGAACAAGATTTATACACTGCCGAATATCGAGATATCGGAAGCTTTTCTCAAACTACGAGAACAAGCGCGCTGCCACTACCAGAAACCCAATGATCTGCAAGCAGGACTGGAAGTCATCAACAACACAAACCTGATGTACTTCTCTAACCCCCAGAAGGCTGAGTTTTTCACTCTGAAGGGCATGTTTCATGCGAGAAGTGGGAGGAACGATGACGCCAATCACTCCTTCGGCCAAGCAGTTCAGATGGACATGTCTCAAGCCAAAGCATGGGCGGAATGGGGACGGTATAGCGATCGCATGTTTAAGGAGTTCCCCAGCGAGATGTCGCACGCTGCCAATGCTGTTAGCTGCTACCTCCAGGCAGCTGGACAGTACAAGAATGGAAAGAGTCGGCCCCTGCTGACTCGGGTGCTCTGGTTGTTGAGTGTAGATGACGCGCAATTTACGATCTCCCGAGCGTTCGACACTTACAAGGGCGAGGCAGCGTTTTGGTACTGGATATCGCTCATCCCACAGCTTTGTCTTTCTATCAGTCAACGCGAAGTCAAACAAGCGCGTTATATCCTGCTGAACCTTGCCAAGTTATTCCCCCAGGTATTCAGCTACTCGATTCTAACTTCTTGTCATGAGCTAATCCTGGTTGCAGGCATTATTTTTCCCATTGCGCACGACGAAGGAGGACATGCAATTCATCAAGAAGCAAGCTTTGGTTACGGCAGCAGCTCGCGCTCAAAGTGCAATGACTGCCAATGCAAACAGGCGTTCTGACGGCGACCAAGTGATGCAAGACGCCACGGCTGAAGTCCAAGCAGATATAATCAAGAAGGAGAATTCGTCGAGCGACGCTATCGAGTCTCAGCTTTCTCAAGCCCAGTCCCAAACCCAACAAGCCCAGTCCAACACAGAGATAACTCCTGCTACTGCACAAAACGCGGGCGCCACTGCTTCCGCTCAAAATGCTCCGGGTGCTTCTGACACTCAGCCGACTTATGTCGTCCGTCAATCTTGGGAACATGTCGATGAGGTCGTTCAGATTCTTAAAACGGCCTTCCCGCTACTTATTCTGAGCATGGAGACTATGGTGGATCAGATACTACAGAGGTTCAAGGCTACCCCTGAAGAAGAGATTTATCGGTTGATCTGTATGCTTTTGCTGGACGCTGTGCAGGTAGGTAATTCATGCGCTACCCGCAGACAGACGTGAACTGTGCACTTCCAGAATTACGTGATGCGGACGAATACGACGGAGGATGACGGGCAGCTTCAGCAACATACCGTACAAAACATTTCCAAGATGGCTGCGAACTTGACTGGATCGGCTAGGGTATGCTCTTGCTACTCGAACAAGGACAAGACTGACCTTGCTGTAGCGAGAATATGAAGAAGACTTTGTCAAGAGTAAACTCACGCATTACGAGTACATCCGAAAGCTTCAGCAATGGAGGGACCGCCAAGAGAAGTATCTCGACTCTCGACCACGCATCCAGTCTCTCGACCTCCTCAGCCACTATCTCACTGAGTTCCAATACGGCAAATTCGACGATATTGAGGTTCCAGGTCAGTACACCGAGGTGAGTTGCGTGCTTGATTTTGTCGACTCGACCTTACATTTTGCTATAGGATAAGGATAGCAATCAGAACTTCATTCGGATCCAGCAATTTGGATCCAAGTTCGAGAACTGTCGATCATATGGTTATTGCTGGCGCAGATTCACGGTGCATGGCAACGACAACTCACGGACATCGTTCTCAGTTCAGCTTCCTTCTGGCCGACACTGGCGCAGGGAGGAGCGGCTGACGCAAGTGTTCCGGACTTTCAACTGGTGAGGCCGTTTCTAGCTCACATACTCTCCTTATTGACCTTGCCTACTAGTGCCTTGGTCCGCAGGAAGGAATCTCGCAAGCGAAATCTGCTGTTCCATATTCCAGCTGCTATCTCTTGTAGCCCTAGTCTTCGCCTCCTGCAGACAGATTCGTCGTACATCACGCTCGGAGACATATACGACCATCACTGCGAGGAAGCTGGTCTATCTCGTGAAGACCCTATACTCGTCTCTGGTGAGAAAGTCAAGAGTGTGTTGCTAGAATTCAAGCAAAAGAGTGGCAGGGCGGTAAGTACATTCGCAATACGTCCTGGACTCATTCTTATAACTTTCACGACAGCCGAGCAAAGCGGAATACTTCACCCTCCGAAAAGACATCATGGATGAAATTGGCACCAAACTCGTTCCAGATGATGTTCTGTCCAAAGTAAGCCATTCGGTCTCTTTATGTAGTCAGTACCTCATGTTCTCGCGCCCAGTATATGACAAGTGCCATGGCCACGCCCGCAGACCTTTGGCGGATGCGCAAGCAGTTTGCCCTTCAAGTTGCTGCGACAAGCTTCATGACCTTCGTCTTCTGCCTCACGAGCCGCGCGCCCTCACGTTTCCATCTTTCTCGGTCGACAGGGCTCATGACGATGAGTGAAATGTTGCCTGGTATGCCTGTTACCCCCAACTATTGAATCAGTTACTAATTGGGAATGCAGGCCTAGCAGGTCAGGCGCCTGTGTTCGCGTCTAATGATGCGGTGCCCTTCCGCTTTACCCCGAATATGCAGAGGTTTTTAGGCCCTGTGTTTACCGAGGGGTTATTGACGACAGGCATCATGGTTATCGGAAGGTGTCTTACCGAGCCCGATGTACGTTTTTTCCCCATTTAACTTGGTCTTCATCCACTGAGATAGACAATACAGTTTGGTCTTGAACAACAACTTTGTCTCTTCGCTCGGGACGAGGTGATGACATGGATGCACGGAAAAGGACATCCGTGGACGTTCGATTTATCGTTCAGGACAAGCTGTGCGGCGAACATTGAGGGTGTGGTGAAGCGTGCTGAAATCATGGCATGTAAAATCGAGAGAGAGACGGTGGGTATACGTTATGAATCATATGCAAGTTCTTGTTCTGACCGGTTTGTCGTCGTACAGGCCCAATCGACCACAAATATGGGTGGTATGCCAGTCGTACAGACTGTTACCAACTTGATCTCGACGGCTACGAATCCTGTGCAATTGATGAGGATGAGCGAGGTATATCATCCATGGTTCTAGGTTATCGAATGTTATCGAATGTTGTCTTAATGATCTTTTATCTGTCTTTGTTTGACTGCTGTGCTGGACGTTGATTGCTTTGTATACATGCACGTTGTACACTAGACATAACATACTTAGAGCTTGTAGCAATGGTTATTTCTGACATCCGAGCAACGCGTGAGAGGCGTTGCCATCTCCAGTGCAAAGCATATATTCATGCGAACTCCCCCTAACATTGGTTCACGCGCGGGTATTGCGCAAGTAACCTTCTGTTTGCCGGAAGGAATTGATATGATTCTCGCTCTCAAGCATCATCTACCAACAACAGTTTCAGGTTCAAAAAGACAAGTTTCGTCAAAGAAAAATACCTACCTCTTCCGCCATCAACGCGATATCACTCCCTGGCCTATTATACATTATCGCATTAGCAAACATTAGATACACATCCCTCTGAAAATCTCTTGAGGTCCTGATAACTCCATCTTTGATCCTTGCTTTGATAGTCTTCAAGTCCATGGGGCGCTTGATGATATCGTGGTAATCGGGCGCTTCGGTCGGTTTGATAGGATTGTGAAAGATATTACCGTTACGGTGTTGTGAGATTTGAGAATGTAGGAGGTTGATGACAGCCTGGAAGCGCTTGTTAGCAATGGGTTGAGTTTGAGTTGTGGATTGGGCGGTGGAGCCGGATGGACCAGATTGGAGGGGTGTGGAAGGGCGTTGCTCGCTGCTTGTTGTGTCGCCCCGGGGACGTGTGGTGACTGTGTACACCTTGGTTAGCGGATGCTCAGTCATTTTGGGGGCACAAACCTTGTTCCTCCTCTCCTGGTGTAGGAGGCGAGCTCTCCTCACGTAAACGTTTCTTGTTGGGCTCTTCAGTGCCTTCACTATCGTCAACTTCCACTTCGTCCACCTTGCGTTTGGCTACGCAATATGAATTACCGATTTGGTTTTGTGAAGCCCAACGTAAACGTACCTTGTGAACTTGTCTCTGTATCAACAGATAAGTTCTGCTCCGCATCGACTTCTATAGATGTCTCTTGCTCTGGTTCAGTATGGGAGTGTTCGGTGTCATGTACGTGGCACGCCTCCTCCTCGTCACGTTCGAGTGTCTCTTCCTCATGGACAGGTGACTCCTCATCGTGTTCGGGTGACTGTTGGCTAGCTTCTTCCTCAACAGACCCCTCTGGGGCGCCAGGTGTCAATATTGCCTCTATCTCAGTTGCTTCATCGTCTGGGGACGTGGGTTGTTGCTCCCATTCAGACTGTTCTGTTTCGTCCTCGTGGGTTGAGGCTACGGGTTCGTCGAGTTCGATTGGCTGCTCATCATTTTCATTCTCAGGCTCGTGTTCCTCGGTTTGTGGCGGGTGAGAGGATTCTGTTTCCACAGGGACTGGTTCGGGGGTTTGATCAGGTTCAGTGTTCTCGGGTTCCTGCACAGGGACTGGTTCTTCTTCCACTTCTTCTGGGTGGGGGGTAGGTTCACGTTCTTGCTCCTGGATGACCTCGAATTCCTGCACAATTGAGTTAGACTGAAAACAAAGCAACCAAAAACACGCACGACGACTGTTTCACTCTGTGTAGGTGCAGTATTGTGTTCTGCCTCGTGCTCGAATTCTGTCCCAGAGAGCTTGGCACGAATCTTATCGTCCCATTTTCCAGCCCGAATATCTTGAATTTCTGCAACGATAGATCTAGGCAGGGTTAGTATGACGCAAACTATACGTTTCAGGTACTCACTTGAACTTGACTTCCTCTGCTGCAATCAAGTCACGCAACTCCAGGAGACGTGCAGTATAGAACTTCTGGGCAAGCTTGAGATTCACAAGAGCTATGTGACTTTAAGTAATATTTTGGAGTGGCATTCGATTAGGGCTTACCATGTGGAGCATTCGGGTCAGACTCGGTGCTACATGGACATTTATGAGGACATATACAACTTGGGTTAGCGCAAGCATCTCACCACTCAAGCTGAGCATCATTCATCAGGCGAGCATATATATCGCGACAAGACTACAACATGGTCTGAGTACGCCATACATAGTAAAAAGTCGAAATGGGCTGACATTAGCGGAAAAGAAAGTTTTTGGACGAGAAGTTATGGGATGCTTTGAGAGTAGCTTTGAGACTTGCTGCCAAGCATTTGCGCCGTACTCGTACACTGCTTGTGCGAGTAAAAGACATTCTACGTTGGTTAATGGACTCATGACTACCCGAGACTCTCCTCACAAGTCCTGTCGATCCTTCAGTCTCCGTGAGAATTATTATCGGCGAACCCGCTCCGGCAATGTCCAAATTAGGATTATGCAGCGGAAGACGTCAGCCCCCATTTAAGACCGTTAACAGCTGCGAACTTGCCCGTCCCTCTTTCTCTTTACACAATGTTACTCTCCGCGTTCGCTACAACGCTCTGCCTCCTTCCTTTCGCTTCAGCTGGTGTACACAAACTAAAGCTTAACAAGCTACCACAAGTATCACCAGGTCATTCACTAGAGACTGCCTACCTCGCGGAGAAGTATGGCGCAGCACCTTCCCAACAACTACCTTTGATGGGTGCTGGCGGTGCTGGCCGTCACATTCGCCCATCAACTGGTGAGGATGATCTCTTCTGGACTCAGGGAGTCATCAACGGTGGACATGACGTCCCCCTCACCAGTATGTGACTGCCATCTCCTCTCTTGCTGGCATATTCACATTTCTCAGACTTCATGAATGCTCAGTATTACACTGAGATTCTCATTGGTACGCCCCCTCAGTCATTCAAGGTTATCCTTGATACTGGGTAAGGAGTTTTCCTTTTATTTTTTGTCGTATGCTTAACATTCGCTCTCTTCTAGGTCGAGTAACCTCTGGGTCCCCAGCTCCAAGTGCACATCCATCGCGTGCTTCCTTCATGCTAAATACGAGTCTACCTCTTCCTCTACGTACAAGGCCAATGGATCCGAGTTCTCCATTCAGTACGGCACTGGCTCCATGGAGGGCTACGTCTCCTCAGACGTTCTCACCATCGGTGACCTCACTATCCGTAGCCAGGACTTCGCAGAGGCCACCAAAGAGCCTGGTCTCACTTTTGCCTTCGGCAAGTATGTCCATTTCCCTTGAAAGTTTTGATGAATTGCGGTTGACCCGTGAATTAGGTTCGACGGTATTCTCGGCCTTGCCTACGATACCATCTCTGTTAACCATATCACTCCCCCATTCTACAGCATGATTAACCAAGGTCTCATCGACGAGCCTGTCTTCGCCTTCCGCCTTGGTGAATCAGAAGCTGATGGTGGTGAGGCCACGTTTGGTGGTATCGACAGCGCCGCGTACACTGGTACCATCGACTACGTCCCCCTCCGCCGCAAGGCATACTGGGAAGTCGAGCTTGAGAAAGTCGCATTTGGAAGCGATGTACTGGAACTTGACATGACAGGCGCTGCTATTGACACCGGCAAGTCCCCTCTTTATCTGATCAATTTCAATTTCTCACTAGATTGCATATAGGCACCTCCCTCATCGCCCTTCCCACTGACATTGCCGAAATGCTCAATACCCAAATTGGCGCCACCAAGTCCTGGAACGGCCAATACCAAGTGGACTGTGCTAAAGTCCCATCCCTTCCCGAGATGACCTTCTATTTCGGCGGCAAACCCTACCCACTCAAGGGGAGCGACTATGTATTGGAAGTTCAGGGCACGTGCATTTCTTCGTTCACCGGTATGGATATCAACCTTCCTGGAGGTTCATTGTGGATTATTGGTACGCGATCCATATACTTTTTACCACGGACATCCTGATAAGTGCCTTCAGGTGATGTGTTCCTCCGCCGTTACTACACAGTTTACGACCTCGGCCGGGACGCTGTTGGGTTCGCCAAGGCTACATGAGGGGTTCCTAGGCGATCTTGTACCATGACGAAGCTGGTATCTATACCACAAAGTGGTACATGCGTCTTCTGCACAGTTTGAAAAACTTCAATTATGAGTGCCTGGGTTATCCACATGCGTCATTACCTGCTATTGCGATGCTCTGCTGTACAGTTATAATATGTTGATCCGATACATCGCATGGCGTATAAACTCTGTCCAAAAATCGTGCAACACACTATAAATTATATTTGACATGAGTCACATGACAGAACAGGAGTATGCGCTACTAACAACGCAGTGCGTGCACTATCGTCTTTGCCAGTAAATTCTCATCTAAAGATCCATTTCTATCGAACATGGATGACGCGGATGATCTTGACGACCTACACCTACGTTCTCCTTCGTCGCTTCGTGCACCCTCCACATTGAAATGTGCACCAGTGAACCGTCTAAAGCGCGCGCGAGTGGCACGCGCACTAAGCGAAAGGCTAGATAGGGTGGGCGTGCTTGGAGGAGAAGACTGGGGACATACTGGGTGCGTCATCTTATTTGACAGGTCTTGTTCATCGTCCAACCCGATGGCTGGCGACTGGATGGTGAATTGCTTTTGGCCTTGTCTCGGAGGTCATACCTGTTCTTATGTTCGCTCTTACATTATGTAGCTGCGTCAATGCGGTTAGCTGGGCGCAGGATGGAGAACTGTTAATTACCAGTGGGGACGATGCCAAGTGCGTGTGGTCAGCAAGTTCTCAACCCGGATGGTTGACTTGGATACGTCCTTTGTAATATCATTATAGTATTCGAATCTGGCGGATGGACCCGTCAGGTTCTACTGGTGCGGACACATCTAGTAGCTCTGATCCAAGCCGCTCGTCGAGTGTCACCGCAAGTTCGGCTGAGAAATCGTCGAATGCTGAAAGTCAGGAAGAGTATCCATTTGCGTGCCAGAGTGTAATCAGCACAGGTCATACACAGAATATCTTTAACGCGCAGATGCTTCCGTTTTCTACAAGGATGTAAGTCTCAACTACGCTCACTTTCGATATGACGATAATTATGTCGGTAGTGCGACCGTCTCCGGAGACCGGCAAGTTCGTGTGTTCGACGTGGGCGAGGCGGTGGGACAATCGCCTACGGGAAGTGAAATGGAGTATACCACGCGGGAGTCGTGTATTCGCGTACTGCGCTGTCACACTGGCCGCGCGAAGCGCATCATCACTGAGGATAGCCCCGATCTGTTCCTTACCGTGGCCGAGGTAGCGTGTGTTCTAGTTGGTTTCTAAATTTTATTGACTAGATACTCAGGATGGCCAAGTGCGTCAACACGATTTGCGTACATCACATTCATGCACGTCAGGCGCGTGCCCTGCACCGCTGGTGACGCTTCCACACGAGCTTTCAACAATTGCACTTTCACCGCTCACACCGTATCAGTTTGTCGTGGGTGGTGAATCGCCATATGTGCGTGTTTGTCATTTGATATTTTTTCTCGGCGTCCCTCTTGATGTTTGAAGTTGATGTGCCTGGGAAACATCATTGGCTTAGTGGTGGTACTCTCTCTCGTCTGTAGTTTCCCTTGCTCTACCTTGTGGGATTCACTATTCTTGGATTTTTCTCACAATTGCGATCCTTAGGCGCACTTGTTCGACCGCAGGCATGCGGGGCGTTACTTGCATGCAGAGTGGGGCGTACCTCCTGATGCAGACAGTGCAACGACATGCGTCAGGAGGTTTGGACGCCGCTCACGTGCAAAGGGAGAAAGAAAGGGATATGAACATATTACTGGCGCGCGGATGTCCGCTTGGAATGGGCATGAGGTGAGTTGTTTTAATCTCGTATTATGAAGGTTTGCTGAACGATAGGGACAGGTGTTGTTATGTATGTCCATTTACTTGACGATATGTCATGAGGATTGATGCAGTCAACGCTTTGTAGCATATCACTCGGACGGAGTGTTTCTTTATTCGACGCGAGACGAGCCTGAAATTTTCGAGGACATGCGAGGTCCACACTCGATCCTCACGCCTAACGCGAAGCAGAGACAGCTCTGCACGAGGAAGTCGCCGTCTTCATACGGTGAACCTTTAACTGGTCCGGACGTCGAGATGATTGTCGAGGATCGACTAGAATCAATGCTTGCAGACAATTTAATGGACGACATTGATGATCCATCGCAAGAAGATGACGAAGATGGCGATGATGAGTATCATGAGGATGACGAGGATGACGAGGATGATGAGGATGACGAGGATGATGAGGATGAGAGTGACCGCCTGTTCACCCCCCAAGACACGGATTCACATCAGGCTGTGCCCGTGGTATATCCGCGTACGCGGTTTACTGGGCATTGCAATATCGAAACAATCAAAGACGGTGCGATCTGGTTGATGTAGATGTATTGATTGATGTTGAATATCATCTGCAGTGAACTTTTTAGGGCCCCATGACGAGTTCGTAACTTCAGGGTCAGATGATGGCAACTTCTTCATCTGGCGAAAGTCGACTGGGGAACTTGTTGACATTCTCGAAGGCGACCAACAGGTAGTCAATGTGATTGAAAGTCACCCGCACTTGCCTCTGGTTGCTGTCAGTGGGATCGATACAACAGTCAAGGTGCGCATCCTGAATACTTTCTATTACATATTATCTTATTTCTCGCAGTTATTTGCCCCGGCTCGCGGAGTGCCATCATTCTCGAGATGGAACGATGCTGAAACGATTAAAAAGAGCAATGCGCGTCGTACACTAAGGACGGGTTTGAGTGGCAGCGCGGAGCTGCAATTCTCACGTCTCCTCCTAAACTACGAACAGGCGCTACGGAGCATTCGGGATGGTGGAGGGGAGCAGTCGGAGGCGCAGCTCACGCAGTGCATAAATCAATGAAAGATTTATCTGTTGTATGTGCAGTATATATACAGTACTTACGAGTAATTTTGGTTTCGGAGGTGGTGGGTATATCACACACATGAGGCCAAACTTGAAGTCGTGGCTCGTTGACAATAAGTTCTGCAACATACAACCTTGAACTAGGAATACGTGGTAGCCTTGCTACATCTCAAGATACGACCATATCATTTGGCGTCTCTATCAAGTGAAAGTATTCATTTCCTAGCTTTTCGTCGCTCTGGCGTTTCAGATGTCACTTTGAATTGATGTTTGAGTCGTGTATTGCTCGGGAGTGGATCATTAGACCACTCTTGTTTGACTCACTGCCGCCGTGGCACCACACAAATCGGACGGAGCACTGGGAGCATACTTCATCACTTCAGGACTTCCACAGGACCTTTCAAAACTGAACCTATGGTCAATGGTATAACTGCAAACCTCTGCTGAATTGTTTTTCTCGTTGTTATGTAAGTTCAATTATCTTGCGCCCTGCACCCGAAAGGCTCCTGCTGACCTTTTGCTCTGTGTCCAATCACGCTGCCTACTGCTTTGTGGACGTTAATCTCGTCTTTTTGCTTTCAGTGTTGCTCTGGTATCCTTCTGTGTGATTTGAGCGTTCGTTTTGCATTCATTTTTGCCGAGCTGTTCAGTCTATCTTCTACCAACTGCAACGGGACGTCCTTTTTTGCCCGTTCAAAACAACACGTCACGTCTTTGCTTCTACCACTCGTCTCACCCACCTCTCAAGCGCTTCAACGCCGACATTTGAAAACTAACCATGCACACTTCTCACACCAGATCGAGGCGCAAGCGTGGCAAAATCGACGATGTCGAGGACGACGGACCACCTCTGCATGTCTCACGGGTTGAAGACACCCAGTCTGAAGCTTATTCTCGCTCTCGTCATCAACAAAGAGACTCTTATGTCCCTTTCGCAACCCGAAATTTCTCTGACATGAGTTGGGAACCTCCTCCAGTTTTTGACTCACTGGCAGCACCTGACCGTTTTCACTCCCGTCCGTCCGATGTTCATCATCGTGGTAGCAGAGATGGTTACGACCTCCACGATGATGATCCACCGTGGTCCGTGCGTCCTAAACATGATTGGAGCCAGCAGGGTAGGGATTGGGCAGCCAACCAAGGTTCTTCGGAGCAACAAAATTGGGGAGCGTCTACTTCATATACGGATAGAGGTCGCAGCCATGGCTGGCAACCGGACGACAGATGGGGGAAGGATGATCGGGGAGATAATCATCATCCTAATAATGACAACAACCACAACCACAACCGCCGTCGCAATAATCGAAAGTTTCAACAGCGAGACAATGGTTGGGACACTCGCAGAGACAGGCAACCTCGGACGCAGGATGTGCAAGAGGAACCACCCAAGGATGAACGGTCTTGGGAGCCTGGTCCCGGATGGCAAGCGCGTGGCGCCGACCAAGGGGGCAAGCACAATCGCAATCGCAATAACGGAAACAAGAATAAAAACAAGAAAAATCAGAATAAAAATCGTATTCGGATGGAGAAGGAGAGAGATAAAGAGCGAGAGAGAGAGCAGCGCCGAAATGACGATGACGATGACCTGAACAAGTGCTTTGTGTTTCATATTGTGCTATCTCGCATTCTCATATTGTTTTTGTCTACAGCTGGCAGAGACGGGAGTTCCATCCCTTGCCTGCCAAACCCGTTCGCATCTCCCCTGTTAAACCGAAACCGGTACCCTCCAGATCACCATCACCTGCGGGGACACGATCGCGCTCACGTTCTCCTGATTCTTACTACTCTCGTATGTCTTCACGAGGTCGTTCGCACTCAAGGTCCTTGTCTCCAAGATCGCAGCAACATAGCTACAGTCCAGTTCGGCGGCGTAGTCGGACGCCCACTGACAGGGGACGAACTGGCAGGGAAGCCCAAAGTTGGAAGTCATATTCCCCTGGATCGTCCGATCGTAGTTGGACCATGCGTAGAGGGCGTCGACGCAGCCTTTCATCGACCTCGTCGGTAAGCCGGAGTAGAAGCAGAAGTTCAAGCCAGAGTATGGATGACCGGCCCAAACCTAAACACCGTTTACCACCTGCAACTTCTATCAACGATATATCACTGTCTATATCACAAACCACCATCCAACAACCACATGGTGGTCCTCTCCCCATCTCAAGGGACTCTGAATCGCGGCCCAATGGAAAGACGAGAACGAATGGAAAGCAGGGCAATGTAAGCACACTCGATGCGACCCCAGATAGGTGCTGATTATTTTGCAGCGACGTCGACATTTCTCGCCTGCTGCTGAGCAAATGCCTCCTCCAGCCAAGGTTCCACGAACGTCTACGAAACATCATCTAGGCGATTCTCCCATCAGCTATCATCCATCATCCGCATCCGGCTTGGCTGATCATGACTCTCCTAAGATTCGGAAGACCTCGAAGGCAGGATTTAGGCCCATTGGGGAACCTAGTTCAGCGGTTAAATTGTTTTTCCCACGTGACGAAGACGACGATGAAGCTGGTCCCGCCCCTCAACATAAATCCCCCACCTCCCCTAAGATTCATTCAGAAGTCCCTGCGAAGCGTACTCGCGATGAAGGTGCAACCAATAGAGATGAAGATATGCACGGAAGTATCCTCCCACGGTCCTTGCCGTTCCAACAAGTCCCTGGTCCACGCGAACCTGTTACAAGGACACCTCTGGTTCCCCAGCCTATACAGGTCCTACCTTCAGCTGTCAGCGACTCGCTGAAGGCTTCCATTGTACCGAAGCCAGCAGGCAGTGGTGATGTTTCTGTCAGTCCTGCCCAGCAGTCGCATACAGTGGAGCCAGACGCGGAAGGCACGCCACGGCCGTCCTCTCCATCGGGGACGACCTGCAAGGACCTCTATGCCATTGTCTCCCAGGTTGGCGAAGGCACATTCGGCAAGGTTTATAAGGCTCGCAATGTCATCACCAATGTCCACGTGGCGCTCAAGCGAATCCGCATGGAAGCAGAAAAGGATGGCTTTCCAGTTACTGCCATGCGGGAAATCAAACTACTGCAGTCCTTACGACATCAGAATGTCGTCCGCCTTTACGAGATGATGGTATCAAATGGTAATTTTTTTGGGATCTATTGCCCCCTCAACATACTGATTCCTTTCTTCAAGGATCTGTGTACATGGTGTTCGAGTACATGGATCATGACCTTACAGGGGTTTTGTCTCAGACGCAGTTCTCATTTTCGCAGGCCAATCTGAAGTCACTGTGCAGCCAGATGCTTGCTGGGCTAGCATATCTGCACCGCAAAGGCGTCATCCACCGTGATATCAAGGGTTCTAACATTCTTATCAATAACCGAGGGGAGCTAAAACTCGCCGACTTTGGTCTGGCACGCTTTTACCAGAAACGCCGGCGAAGTGATTATACCAATCGTGTCATCACTCTATGGTATCGACCGCCAGAGTTGCTCTTCGGTGCTACGGTATATGGGCCGGAAGTTGATATGTGGAGTGCAGGGTATGTTTCGCTCGTGCCTTCTTGCACCGCCCTTTGCTGATGGTGTTGTCCAGCTGCATCATGCTAGAACTTTTCACCAAAAAACCAGTGTTCCAGGGCAATGATGAAATCCATCAGTTGGACGTGATCTACCGTATTCTTGGAACTCCGTCTACTGAGCGATGGCAAGGGCTCACCGCACTGCCATGGTATGAGCTGGTGAAGCCGAAAGATGTGATTCATGGTCATTTCCGCGAGTTATTCTCTCGGTGCGTCCATATGCAGATACAATCATGTGTCATTTGATGAGCTCACTTTGATCTTAGATGGTTATCGCCCGCAGCCCTTGACCTAGCTGAGCGCCTTCTTGCTTATGATCCGACGCAGAGAGTTACTGCCCTTGAAGCTCTTGAAGCTCCCTACTTCAAAGAAGAGCAACCTCCACCTGAGCTGCCTGTTGAGTACGTTATGATTCATTTTTCGTGTCTTGCAAGTTGTTCAACGCTTCTTTCTTTCTGAACAGCCTGTCCACTTTAGAAGGTGAATGGCATGAGCTAGAGACCAAACGGGAGCGAGCCAAGAAGCGTCGCAAACTGGAAAACGGGCTCGTATAATATATCTCATCGGTATGGTTGATTATAATGTACTGGACATTGTATGCATGGCACCAGCTACACATCGTAGTTTACAAGAATTGCAACCCGTTTCATGCTGTAACCGCTGGTTGTTGGACAAGACCCTTCTCAGCCAGGTGTTGCACGATAGTCTCCACCTGCAAATCAAATCAGCTTGAGGATTATCTGAGGGGACTCCCGGAACGTACATTTGCCGCCGTCATGCGAATTTGCAAGTCCCACCGCTTAGTGAACGGAGCGCCAGTGTCCTCATTTATCTGCTCTACGTCACCAAGACCACCTGCTTTGCCTTGAGCGTCATCTTCCTCTCTTGCCGCATCGAACCAGATGAGCTTATCGACTTGATCAATCGACCCTTTCAGACGACCTTGCTCTATCATTTTTCGTGCCATTGTCTCTGCTGCTCCAGGTGCTAGATCTAGGAGAGCACCGAGACCTCTAAAAGTGATATTGTTATAGATTTTTGAGCTCGCCAATAGATTGTGCTCCATAACCGCTCGATCAAGAACGGTTGATGGCCCCCTGCGAGTACTTGTCGACGGTTCGGCAGAGTCATCATCGTCAATAGTCGAGGCAAGCTGATCATTGGAAGAAATAGCAATCTTTGCTAATTGATGAGGCCGAAGGCGCTCCTCAAAGGTTCTGATTTCAGCTGGGCGGAGGATGTGATCGAGGAACATTTTAGACAGGATGTTGTATGAGGGTAGGTCAGCCGAACGCTCGTCTCTATACAGTGAAGCAAGCACGCGCGACCTGTTTGGACCAGCTGGGGCCAAGACCGCGCAGGTCACTGCAGCCGACCTAATCTTGTCAGTAGGATGCAAATATCGCTAGATGCGACCTACAACATCTCCTTTCTTTCTTCTTCGTCGATCTCAGCAAGCCAACTCAGCTCGTGATAACGCATTGCAGCCTCAAGGAACTTGCGTGCATAGTCACTGATTCTGGCTTGGCAGAGCTTGAACTGAAGTTGTGTCTCTCGGTCTGATGTCGAATTGGAAAGGGAGGCGGCGCGATTATAGTAAGTCTCCGCCTGAACAGAATCCTCGTCCTCTAGAAGCAGTCTGACTATCCGGATATTCACACGGAACTTTTCCTCGTCTGGTAGAGACCTGCCACAGGCTCAGATGAGTGGGGCACATAGGGACTATACTTAGATGAGCGAGGCTCACCGAGAAGATATTCCCATGAGGACACGGGCGGCTTCGCTCCATTCCTCTTCTGTTTCTAGTAAATCTGCGAGTTGAAAGCGTAAAGAGTTGACCTGTAAAATATGTTATCGGACTGCATCTTCAGGGGCAATCACGCAAACGCACCTGCTCTTCATAGCTTACGATTCGTGGCTGAAGCGTGTTGAGAGTTTCCTCCACGACGCGTTTCCGCAGGTTGTGATCTGATATGCTTCCGGTACCAAGGTTTCTGACTAGTTCAGAGAGGACTTGTCTTCCGACGACGATGCCTACATCCTGGACGACTGTTTCCACTAACGTATGAAGATCAGGAGCTATGAGAGACTGATCTTGACGAGCGAGGATCTCTGACACCAGAGATAGATAGGCTGGAGCTTTGTCCTTCTGGTTGAGAGCTGCGAATTGTGCTAGTCTAGAGTCCATTATAGTTCCGTGTCAAAGACGTGTTATCACTCGAAATCATAAAAGGAAATAATCCTGGGCGTGTATGTAAGTGGCGGTGTCGCGGGTAGTTGAACTTCAAGAACTTCAATCAGTGGGTGGGACTTGCATCGCAACCGGGGTCTACGGCTATTGGCATTGATCATCATTTGGAACAGCCATGTCAGATTCAGCACAGAATTCCCTGGTAGGATTCGCTTCGGGAGTTCTTACTCGGCTCATGCTTTACCACCGTGGACAGACCGGAGGGAAGCCGTTTGAAGGAATGGTATGAATTCATCCAAAAGACATGTTAATCTTGGAGCTACTCCGTGAACATACTCTCACCATGGCATGGCTCAATTAGAAATTTAGAATCATTGACACGGTCGCCCTGACAATTTACACAGTCTTTCGTGTGATCCAATCCCGGGCTGTTCACTCAGGTCCCGCTGAGAACCGTTACTCTCCTGTTCCTCCCATAGCCTCGTGCTACTTCCTGCATCATCATACTTATACCCGTTTTATCTATCGTACTCGCTCACGTTTCTCCCGCAGGTTCCTTCGCTGCTAGCCAGCGACTCGAACTCCAGCCGCCTGGACTGACCTCGGTTTTCAGAGAGCCGACAGTCACCTGCTTGTGCTCAGTGTCGCTAATTTTCTGGACATCAGAACAATGTCTCACTTTACTAGCCATCCGTACTACCATACCATGCCAGCTATTCATTCCTCCCGAAATAATCATCCACTTCCTCTCAGCCCACCGGAGACCGATCAAGAATCCTTACCTGTTCAACTACCGCCGGCTTCTCTCGTCGCTGGCGCAGAGCTGGAACAGCTGGCGCATTCTGCTTTGAGTTTTCCAGAGCGTTCTAAATTCCAATCTCGCAGGACGTCCACTTTGTCGTACCAGAACTCGGGAGTGCGAGATAATCGCGACCGAACCCCTTCACGGGCCTCGAAGTCTTTGATCGTTGTTCTTCCTCCACCAGACTTTCCCGTGGATCATGGTCAACTGGGTAACGTGCTGTCCATGGGACCTCGTCACCGTTTATCTCAAGGGATCCTCATGCCCCTATTCCCTACGGTTCGTAGTCCCAACTACCGAGCAATGAGTGTTCTAACTTTGGGATTAGATGTACGGGCAACTCACTGCAATCGCACGGGAGTTCAATTTCCCGAGCACAGTGGGCTTGTGTCTCTACCACCATATCACTGAAAATGGTATCACCATGACGCCGCGCATATCTGACGATGCCTGGCAGTATCTATTGACACATCTCACGGAGTCACGTAATGGCTCCCAACAACTACCTATCGGTGGTCGCATAGAATTCGACATTGACCTCAACAAAGCTCGCTGGTTCGATGCCTGGCTTGCCGGTACACTGCGTGACGACACCATTGTTCCTGCTCCGCAGTCCCATGCATCTATACTGCACTTGCATGGTGACAGTAAGACTACGTTTGCAGAGGAGCACGTTGTGAATGAAGACCGCTGGGATAATCAGACCATTCAGTTGAACTCAAGGCCTACAACTATCCGTCACGCACCCAAGAAACTTTCCCTCCTTGACCGGCTAGATTCCACTGCGCTCCAGGATTCGTACAAAGCATCGCAAGCAACTTCTCCGCCTTCAAACCATGTTGCGCATCAACTGTCTCCTATCCCACAATCTGCTGCCGTTCCGCAGACGTCGAAAGCCGAGCTCCATCGGCGCGTCAATTCATGGAGAGCGAGCGCACTCTTGGATCCTGCGTCAATGACGGAGTCATACCAGCCCATCCCTAATGCTACATTGGGTCTTGCGGCGATTGAGGCTACGGATGAGTACCCCTTAGAGGTAGAGGCGGGAGTCCAAGAGCCTCTGAATTTAGCAGACTTTGCCTGGTCCGTCACATCCGCTGGGCCACTTAGTCCGCCTCTGCATTCTCCATTGTCTTCTTGCCGCCTTCCTTCTGTCCATCTTGATCGTCGCATGCAGGAATCTGTGCTGTTGACACCGATTACAGCAACTAGCTGGGGACCTCCGGATGATGATTGGCTTTCGGACGTATCAAGCATCGATCGTTTACCTTCGCCTGACATTGGTAGACGTATGCTTGAGAGCGCACCCCTGACCCCCGCTACGGCCACTAGCTGGGGGCCTGCTGACGATTGGCGGTCAGATGTGGCCAGCATTGATCGCTTGCCGTCCCCAGACATTGCTCACCGAATGCTGGAAGACACTTTAGCGAGTCCAGCCTCTGGAGCTCCCTGGCACAAGGTCTGGCCATGGTTCAAGGTTGGAAACGTATCACCAGCAGTGGAGTCATACAGCCCATGGGTGGGCATGTCTGCTTCATCGTCTTCATGGTTCGATGTTACAAAAGTGGCGACACTTCCATCAACTACTTCTTCTTATAATCCTTGGGCTGGAATGCCACAGGTTCAGGTTTGGCCTTGGTCCGAACTTGACAATGCAAAGTCTGGGGTTTCATATAGCCCCTGGGCCATCGTGCCTGCCATCCGGGCATGGCCTTGGTTTGATATTCACGCTTCCCAAGACAAGGGTGACCTGGAGTTGCAGCGCAGCACCTCTTCGAATCCTTGGGTTGGCATGCCCTGGTTTGACGTTGGACCATGGCATGAAGTTAACGGTGCACAGCCTAGCAATTCCATGCTCATTTCACTCAGTCGACAAGGAGGGCTGAAATCAGAATATCCCAGTCTAGACATCTGTGAGCCTTCATTGCTTGTGATAAATGAAGGATTGCTAACTTTTCCACAGACCCAGCTTCCTATCCTTATTTCAATATTTATCCTGCGTGCGCAGAGGTGAACAGCGGCCTCAGCAGCGCTAGAGGTTATCCTATACTTGAAATTTGTGAGTTGTCGCATTGATTGGATTTTAGGGTGATGCTCAGCTCGACCATTAGATCCTGCAGTTTACCCTCATTTTAACTTATATCCTTCAATTGCATGCTCAGCTATTTCTTCTCCTAAAAAAACGGCCGCCTTTCAGCCACAAAAGTCTATTGTTGTAGAACTTGCTCCAGCTTACCCCCTGTTTAATCTTTGTGAGTAGTCGTTGGCGTCGCGCTTTTTTCTTGGGCTGATTGTTTTCAGACTCGCCTCTTTACCCGTATAATCTCAATTCGATTTATCCGGCACCGGCTGTCGAATCATCTTCATCTGTGGTGCTCCCGAGTAGCTATCCGTGGTTGCTTATTTGTAAGTTGTCTTGCGCCCTTTCTTGAACGAGGTCTGACGTGCACTAGATCCTTCTGTTTACCCCCATGTGAACCCATATCCACAAGTCAGTGCCGAGGTGGCCGGACCCCGGAAAGCAGAAGACGAGATCGCGCAGCCTCTTCAAGTGAAACTTCGGCCACAATATCCTGTTCTTGATATCTGTATGTGGAGCATGCAAGTGTTGATTACTGGCTTGGAGCTCATTCCCCCCAGACCCTGCAGGCTACCCATGGAGCCTGAAAACAGTATATCCCCCAACCGAAGTCGAAAATGCCTCTGAAATCACTGTCCGCTTATCATCGCATTATCCATGGCTAGACATCTGTGAGTCGCCCAGTATTTTTCAGTACGAGTCACACTAACTAGCGCCTTAGATCCCTCCGCTTATCCTTTTGTGGAGCCATATCCGACGCTGAACAAGACATGCGAAAGCCCTATGAGCAGATCTCAGACTCACTACAAGTCGGAATGTATGAAAGTTACGTTGGCTAGATATTTCCCGTCATTCGATTTATGTGAGACCCCACCTTCACCCTCGAGTCTGTATACTGAACCTTTTATTCTAGATCCCGCGGTGTATCCACACTTTGACCTGTATCCTGCCTTGCCAAACATGGGGTCCGGAGGTTCGCAACAAGAGGAGCCCGCCAAGGTAAAGCAGGAGACCTAATTTGGTGAATAATGATTAAGAATTTTTGCTCCTTTCAGGACAATGTCGATAGTGTATCAGTTGACCTTGCGGGGACTTACCCATACATTTGTCCTTGTGAGTTGGCTCAAGTGGAAGTGAGCGATTGCCCGATACTTAATTTGCTTCATGTAGACCCTCCCGCTTATCCTCACTTCGACTTGTATCCACGTGTTCAGATACATGCGTCCCGTGATGGTAAGGATTTGACGACCAGCAATTTCTTTGCCTCGAGTAGCACGTACCCCTTCTTGGTCATCTGTGGGTTCTACAGTCTAGTTCTCTCACACGCTTTCTCACCGAGTACATAGATCCTGCTGTGTATCCGCACTTCGATCTGTATCCCGCACGTGCCGCAGAACCAGCGAGTCGGGGAGAGGCCACGGCCAATGATAGGTTCTCCGTTTCAGCATACCCCTTCCTTGTCATTTGTGAGTCCTACATTCCGCTTGTCTCGATTGTCTTCTCACAGAGCACGTAGATCCTCATGTGTACCCTCACTTTAATCTATATCCCGCCCGTGCGGCAGAATTAGCGAGTCGGGAGGAGGACATGGCCACCGGCAAGTTCTCCGCTCCAGCGTATCCCTTCGTTGTCGTTTGTGAGTCCTACATTCCGTTTTTCTTAGTCATCTTCTCACAGCGCATGTAGATCCTCATGTGTACCCTCACTTCAATCTGTATCCCGCCCGCGCGGCAGAGCTAGCGAATCGGGAGGAGGACATAACTAACAGCAAGCTTGTCGTTTCGAGTAGCACGTACCCCTTCCTGGTCATCTGTGAGTTCTACATTACGTTTTTCTTACTCCTCTTCTCATAGAGCACATAGATCCTCATGCGTACCCTCACTTCAATCTGTATCCCGCCCGCGCGGCAGAACTAGTGACCCGGGAAGAATCAAAGATTTTTAATGTAACTGCTAGTTCATATCCATATCTTGCGATCTGTACGTGTTTCAAGTATACTGCAAATACTACCCATACTGAATCAGCAGCAGATCCACCTGTGTATCCCTACTTTGATCTATATCCCAGTATCCCCCCGAGAGTTGATGCCCCTGCTGCAAGCGGAACATCAAGTGTAAGAATGGACCACGGGTACCCAGTCTTAAACATCTGTGAGTACGCGTGCCCATTTGATTTCCGGTTTACCTCAATTATGGTTTTAGACCTTGCTGCCTACCCGCACTTTGATATTTACCCTGCGCTTGGAAACGTAACGCAGCCATCTCAGAAGGCGACCGATATACCAGTGCGCCCATTATCTGCGAAAAGGCATAGGAAAACACACGCTGAAGTACATGTCGAGGTGGCACCATCACCTAGGCTCCTCGTGGCTAGGAGAAAGTCTGCGAAAACACACCGTCAGCTACATGCTGAGGTTTTTGTCAATGGAGTCACTTGGACACCTAGCGGATACGTGCAAGACCTAGCACTTCCTGACAAGCCACACGAAGAGGCCAATCGCGGCCCGCGACGCCGAATGCCCTCTGTACATGAAGTAATGCCTCGACTGGCGCATTCCCGCTCGCTAACCCTCTCTAACCAGCAACCGCCGACTAGTCCATCGCTGCGAGAGAGACAACAGCACGTGTTGCATAATGCTCCACCCATTCCCCCTCTCCGCATCAGCAGTCCAGGGGTGCCAGCTGTCTCGGAGTTCCCGATTCCTATACTACCACCTGCATCACCTACTAAGTCACGGTTGTCGCAAGTCGTGAGATCCTTTGGATCGTCAATAATGCAGGGGCGCAATTTGACATCGACCTCAGATGACCACAACGAGAGGGCGAAATCTCCCACAAGGTCTATGTTCCCTTCCTTTGATCGACGCAGCTCTATGATTCCATCACTGCCTCCCCATAATCCGTCAGACCTCTTGGGACGCAGTCGGTCGCCTGTCCGACAGGGCGCTCAGAACCTTGTTTTGCAAAGGGCAAGGGCTTATGAACAATCGACTTGTATGTCTTTTTTTCCTGCGTTTGCTTGGAATCAAATAAATCTGACCATCGGATCCAAAGCTGCATCCCAGCATCATTCTCACAGCGTGAGAGGCACGCAATTATCATCGCCCTCACTGCTTCCCATTCCTGATTTCCCCCATGCAATAGATCTGGGTTTGAAGATTGATGAGTCAAGTCTCTTAAAGAACACCACTCCTTAGACTTCGTCTTGAGTTGTATATATATTGTGTTGCTACAAATTAATCGATTCATACAATAATACTTGATCGTTGGTCAGCGTAAATGCGAGCATGTTAGATCGGCAGGGGTTGAAAACTGTCAGTCGCGGTACGGGGGAGGTTCGTCTACTACTACAGGGTCAGGTGATGACAATACATGACCACCGCCTGGCATTCCTATATTGGAGAGCGGCGAGGAAGGGGATGTAGTTCCTTCGTGATCTACACTCGAAGAGTGAAGGGCCCGAACTTCGCGATTGTCGCGATCGCGTTGGTCACGAAGCATCTTGGTTTTGCGATCATCCATGAAAGCCAGTAGAGCCTGTGATTTGATTATGTCTGGATAACTGAATACTCAATTGTTGCAGTGACGTACCTTTTGTGTGGCAGCCTCAGCAGCAGCCTTCGCTTCAGCCGCATTTTTCTGAGACCTGGCTAATTTTTGCTCAGCCAGTTCTATAGTCTCTTGTAATATTTGAGCGCCAAGGCGCAATTCTTCGCTTTTGCGCTCATTCCAGACGTAGAGGGGCTGAAACTCCTTTACCTACAAGGAACTCGTGATAAAGCGGTGTTAGCGCAGTACTGATAGGGGAGACATACCTCCGGACGAAACCCTATCTACCCTCTTGAGATCAGATAGGTACGTACATAAGTTCAGTCAAACGCACCTCGATTGCATACTCGAGCGCACCCTTAGTTTCAATCAGGTGCCGTCTGATCGTATCATTTGTCGGTTTAAACTGCCGGAATTTGGGGTTTTCGGGCTCTCGTATCAGGTTCTCAGAGATCTTTGATAATATCTTGCGAGAAGCCCATCATCGATAGGTTGTTCATATATGATAATTAATTCATCCACTGCACACCTTCAAGGAAGCCATCGCTGCTTCTTGGGAGTTAGGTCGAGTGATCCCAGGGTTTATCAAACGTCGAAACTTCTGCTGCTGCTCGTGCCGTCGAAGAAGTTCAGCACTAATAGGAATTACTTGTCCCGTTGTGACATTGCGGCGTTGAGCTGCTGCGGCAAGAAACTCTGAATGAGGTGGTGAGCTAGGTTCTGAAGACATGATTGATGTGGTTGGTTAGAAGCCCGAGAGTTCGACTTGAATCTTCCCGTGACCTCTACTTGTATTTACACACACTGCCAGTATTCGCCTCAGATCTTGGTCGGTGCATAATGTTAATGTAAAAAAAGCATTGAAGCATTCATTGTTACAGGTAATCTATGGTACAGGGGTCAATCTAAGTTGTTCCATGATTCTCGTCGCGCACACAGAACCGAATACCTCTCGCCCACATATGCCAAGCCACAAGGTATCTTCTTGTTGAGTCATAAGTCCAGCTCCGCCTACGCCGCGGCGTCATCGGCACCGATAATCTCGTTATCCTTGAGCTTCAATATTTCAATGTTCGCACTGATGCTGCCAATGATCAGCGCTCAGCTTTCTCTGATTTATGTGAGCTGCTGATGCCTCTGAAACATACCACCGTTTTTTGCGCAGACGCAAGGATGAGCGTCTCCGAATCAGCTGATGCTGCGGGTACTATCATCATAAATAGGGGTGGATACCGTGACGGTAGCTGACAGTCGAGTTTCGGCAAGCGCCGGAAGGCCAACCAACTCCGAAGTTGCTTGAGACAAGCTTGAGAGCACGCTACATACTAAGTTACAAACAGAAGAAGCGTTTCGGATATCATTGAGGGTGTTGAGATGCGAGGCATATATCTAATCAGTGGACATGGCCCGTGTAGTGACTAGCGGAGAATATAACTAGCGGAATATATGACATGCTCGCCTCCTCAGAGTGAGTTTATCTGAGTCTGTGCAAAGAGTACGAGAACTTGAAATTCTCAACAGAGGGGGAGTGCAGAAATACATGGTTGAAGTCATGGCTACAGTCAGTATACAGTATACAAGTAATAGGGACACTGCATCAGTTTGAATCTACTCCTTCTCCATCTGAAACTGCATCTTCATTGAATTCATTATTCAAGTGAAGAGCGGACTGTGGTTGGAGATGATCTAATTCATCCTCCGATGAACTTTCACTACCCCAGGGAAATTCTGATGCATCTACACTCAAACCCCTCCCGTTGGATCTAGCAGGTCTGTGAGACGAGAATGACATCGACAATGATCCTGGCCTAAGATTTCTGAAGAATGTTGATGAATTAGAAGCGTTTTGCCTTGTATCATCAGCAGACGGTTCTGGCGTGGCTGCACGCGGGCTTGCAGATGAGTTTCCAGCTGCGCTATCGCCGTTGCGATCGAGGAGATCAGATGCCCACTTACGACGCAGAACAGGAGAACGCAAAGGGTCGGTAGTATTGTTATAGTTGTTTTCATACGGTGTGCTCGTCTCAGATTCCCTTGGGGCACCAGATGTAGGGCGACCACGGCGAAAGTACCAAGCCGTGCCATTGTCTTCAAATGCGCGTTCGGTATCCGAGTCCAATGGTATTGGCGACTCGGATCTGACACGAAGTCGTGAGCCGGTAACGGGCTCAGGGACGGCTTGACCGTTAACAATAATATTCCGGGTGTCACCGGGATTTGTACGAGACCGAACCCGGTCAATTGCCATGCGGACTGCCTGTCGACCCATGAGAATCTCATTTTCTATGCGAAACCGATTTTCGATCATATGCAACTTAAGTCAACAATGAGCAAAAGAACAAAGACATGGAGCGCCAGTAGTTCTGACCTTAGGCCACGTTACAATTTGCCCAACTTTCATCATTCGTTCGAGCTCGGCTGAGTCTGGGTCGCTCAAGATATGTAACCAATCCTATCATTCAATTAACCATCAGCATTGTATTTAGAAAATGCTGTGCGGACTACGCACCAAGATTCGCGTTCTCGGCCAGATTCTGAAGCCGAGTGAGTGTCGTCAGATGGTCGGATGATTGGTACATACGTGACAGCCCCATCAAAACGTTGCAGAAAGACGCTAGACCAGTCCTGTCCGAGTAACTGCGGAAGAAGTTCGAGATCACGAATCACCTGGTGAGAATGGTTTATTTAGAATCTACCCGCACAATTAAATAAGCAATTACCTTGAAATTCTTTGTGAGCTCTAGTTTGAGCCACTGTTCCGCTGCAGACAGAATAAAATTGCCTCGCCACCCTGTAAACGCATGAAGCATTGACTAGAAAAAAAATAAGATGTTCATCCCATACCCTTTCCTTTCCTGTGAGCTACCGGTTTTCCTGCCGAGCCACGAGGTGCAAAGAAGAACAGATGGACGTGAGGGTTCACTTGGGACACAACCGGATGGGTAACTCGAACCATAATCAGCCGGTCATAATCGTCCAACAACAACAATCTCAATCTCACCATTGAAGTACATTTTAAGAGCTTGAAGAGGAATATCAACCCTGGTTGATGTCAGAGGCGCATGAAGATATCTTGGCAAATTATGCCTGCTTACCTCAAAGACCCGTCCTTAAACTTACTACCCCCAATTCCATGGCACTACGCGGCCATCGTGGAGCTTCTGCATGAGTACAACCGGGTTGAGAATCCCGGGTACAGCTGCTGAAGCGAGTAGGGCCGTCCAAATTATCGTGTCCGGCGCAGTCATGTAATTCAGGAGCTTCGTGGGACTGAAATGAATGTCAGCTGTTTTAGACTCACGGCCCAGATAACGAGCTTACGCGTGGCGATCAGCAGGGACAACAGAAATGTTGAGGATTCGCCCGGTCCGTTGATAGGCTTCTCGAAAGGTCATAGAACCTCTTGTGAAGAATGTGCACTGTAAAAAACAGGTTAAAAAAGAAACGTTAGTTGAGTATACCTGCCAACCTTACGAGCCCACGCAACACTATCAAATCTTGCGCCGGTGGCCCAAAAATGCTTTATCCATACAGTGAAGGTGTCTTCACATGCCGTCAGTTTTTGGGCGAGTTCCGGAACAAGAAGAGTCTTCAGTTCCGCGTCTGTACGTGTGCATACCAGAGCGGCAACGAGGCCACCAGCGGATGTTCCAGCAATAACCCGGGGAAGCAGCCCTGCATCTAGGAAAGCTTTCACTACACCAAAATGGTCTAGAAGAGGGAGTCAAATGTCAATCGCGTGGGATAGTTTCCGACTTACAATATCCAAAAGACGCGCCACCAGAGAGACACAAGGCAGATGTTCCCAGATTAGTACTAGCATTTTTGAAGAACCTCCTCTTCTCTTCACTAGAAAGCTCCGGGGACTCTCGAACGAATTGCAACGCGCGTTGCAACTCTGTATGATATGCTATTAAAGGGGAATTAGACCGAATAAGATCCATCTTGGTAGAACTGACATTCGATTAAGTCCTTGGTGCCCAGGAAAGTCTGGTACCTCAAAGGTGTGGATTAGGCTCCTATTTGAAGGATAAAATGCTTACTTCACTGTAAAGCCTAAGAGAGTTGTGAATGGGAATGGAATTGAGCAACTTGAAAAAACTCACCTGGAAGACTCGACTCCTACAAAATTGGCTCGGATACATGTTTCTAATACACCGAGAACGCCGCGAACATCCTTCTTCTCTCTCAAAATCTTTAACGACCGATTCACCTAACAAGTGTCACTTGAGCTCCTGTGTTTGATATACAGCACTTTCTTCACCTTGCGCAGAAGTTTCCAATCATAAAATGCATCCTCGTCAACCTTCTTCCAGTCATTGAATAGAAGGTATTTATCGAGCATCATTGCCGTTTCCTTCCATTCCTATAGCCAAAAGTGAGACTGATGCATATATCAAGATTCAAGACATGTCACACACCTGATACGTGCGTGCCCCACGAAGACGCTTTCGTAGAAGACCTTTCTGTCCTCGCCCTGGGATTTTGCATGAGCCAAAGTGTAGGTACAGTCAAGGCCAAACTTGCATGCTAGTAGCCATTCTTTGGTATTTACAAGTTGTCTAATAAGGATGTAGAATCCGAATTGAGCCGCGATGAGGACAAATATCAGAAACTGGTGAAGAATGAATATTGAGCGAAGTCGAAACAGGGATATTAATGCTCACAAGGAGTGGCCATCGGAGCACAAGAAACGACCACTCTTGCCTCCTAACCGTAGATTTATCCCCCTTACGTTTTCTAACCACAACAAGTTCAGCAGTATCAATGAACCGAGGAATAAAGCTCCGTACCTCTTCACCTTCAAGTTGATTGGAGCGAAATCGGAAAGAGCGGAGACCTTCCTCACGCGAGGGCTCTGTGGCACAGGGGAACTAGGAACGGTGTGGGGTGAAGCTGCTGATAGAGCGTCATGTCCATCTAGGTCGTCCGACTGTAGGGCGTTGATGAAAGCCTGTATGTGTCTGCAAAGGGTTTACGTCAAATTAGAACTGACTGAAACCGGGGCAAAGGACCAACGATTCGTTAACGTAGCCTGAATCAAGTAAATCCGGTGGCGCTTCCATCGGTATTCTATTGCCAACGGCGGTAAGTTGCGTGAAAGAGTTGGCGAACGCGGTCCAGGACTCCAGCCTGAGGCCTGAGGCGGCAGGCCCAGGTCGTATACACACGGTGGCAGTTATCGATAGACACGTGATCTCTGATTTAATCCAAAGCAACTTTTGTTCACCAGCACCCTTCATAATCCAAACTCGTTCGTATACATACAGTTACTTTCTCAGTTTCCTCAGTGTATACTACCAATCGAATATTACACGAAATTACCACAGCATACATGCTGTTCTGTCCAACATGTGCTAATCTGCTTGTGATATCATCGGAAACAGGCTACAATAAATGGGCGTGCAATACGTGCGCATATGAGTTTCCGATCTCGAAGCAGGTGTGTAACTCGGATCTTTACTATCACTGTACGGTCCTGTAGTGATAGTGTCTAGATGACATCCCGCTCGCGTATGAAGCGCAAGGCGGTAGACGATGTGCTTGGAGGAGAGGAGACTTGGCGAGATGCTGATTCTACTGCTGGTGAGCCCTTTCTTTTTTAGGATGGGATACTGACCCATATGCATAACCAATATAGTCGCTTGTGACAAGTGTGGTCACCCACGCGCGTATTTTTATCAGCTACAGATTAGATCTGCAGATGAGCCTATGACGACCTGTGCGTTCCTCTTGGATTTGACTTACGAAACGTGGGGGCTGATTTGCTTCTTGGGATCAGTTTACAGGTAAGTTTTACTAGTTTATTCATAACCCAACCCGGTTAACAATGTTACAGATGCGCCGGATGTGCCTATCAATGGCGTGAAAATTAATAGTTTCTCAAAATGCTTTGCTTAAACCGACTCCTCATCTAAATATTTCTTAAATGTTTCCACAAAGCGTAGCCAAGCGGTTGCTTTCACCTGGGCTTGAGTGCACACGTGCACCCTAGATTCTACTTGTTTCAGTTATTAAGGGTGACATGTTCTTCTGACACCCGATCAATCCTATGTTCCAGCCGTCACGGGCCTTGATCGTTGCCGCTATTCTCATACTAGAGTAGAAACTATGTCGTACTGTTTTCCCCCCGCTGCCACCATGCTGTGAATTTACAGTTACAGCCCCCCCTCCAACGACCGCAGCATTTTCTACTCCAGTTGCGTGAGGAAGTTTACTGTCTCCGTCCGCAGCTACGTTACAAGGTGACGGAAAGCCCTGATTGGATCGGCATTGTTCGCCTATCTTTCGTATCTTCATCTCAACTTGGACACAGCCCTGTAGAATTCACAACTGATCATATCTGATCGCGCAATACTCCAGAATCCGATTGCGGAACATCTTATCTCCCGGGTATCGACCATTGCCAAGGTACTATCCATCAAACAGAATGAGGCTATTGTCGTCCCCCAGACGTCTCATGTGATCCTGATCATCTTTGACACCGCCCATCACTGGCATATACTCCGCTTTTGGGTTGAAAGAACCTTCTAAAGGAGTCCAAAGGTATATAAACCCATGTTCACTCATCCCTTCTGCATTCACTCACTTACTCCTACTTACTATCATGGGTTTCCTCGACGCCTTCTCTAGCTCCCAGACCCAGTACGACAGTGTTAGTCCCTTTATAACTCCACAAATAACACATCTTCAATGATACATCTACAGTTCCAAAGCGATGATGCACCTCACCAAGCTAGCTTGAGCCACGAGCTCCTTGGTGGTGCCGTCGCCTTCGAAGTAAGCTCAGTCTTTCCCTGCCAGATTCAGTTCTCATGTTGGATTTCAGGCTGCAAAGGCTTATGAAGATCATTGTGCCAGGAATGGCAAGCCCCCAAGCCATGCTTTGGCCAAGGAACTTTTGTAGGTCATGCCGGACATATGCGTTTCGTATTGCTCATGTAGTGTCTAGCGCTGGTTTCGCAGGAGCTGCCGTTGACCGTTTGGTCGAGACGAAGGGTGTATGTATTTAGTTATTGGGACTAGACGCTCTAACGAAACACTGGAACAGGCTGACGCGTGGTCTGCGCACCAGAGGCAGAGAGCCCAGTCGCATGGTATGTATTTTATTTACCACATCGTGATCCATTTTGACGACAAGTCACTTGAAGCTCAGGAGCAGATCCAGGAAACATTCACCGAAGATGTTTACCAGCAGAACTACTAGTTCTGGTGAAAGAGTTATACCACCTGTCAAATGACTTGTACTTGATACTTGAATCCGAACAACCTGTATAGCCATGCAAGGCATTTCAATTTCATGGACGAACCATTTCGTATATACATTGCGTGCCAAAATACATACATAGCCTGCACAACAACCATTCAAGATTCTCGATTGATCCATACTCTAAATGGCGAACAAAACTATGCAGCCACGTCACAAACTTATTGCGCTTTTGTGAGCCACTTTTTCAAGCTCGTTTTACCCATCTTGTCGACTGCCTTTTTGATATCATCCCAGGTCAAAACACTTCGATATCGAGCGAATCCTGGAGCTATGCTCGTAGACGAGGCGGTTACGCATATGAATATTCTTTCACCGATCAGTCGCTCAAACCCCTGAATTGTATTAGACGTCAACAACTAAAAATAGGCCTATCAGAATTCTGGACACACCCTCATCAGAACTTCCCGAGTACACCGAGACATGCCGATGCTTCCTCCTGCAACTTGAATTGGGGCCGCTGCCGAAGCACGGTATTGTTCACGGAAAGTGTCGTAAAGCATCTCGAAGGTTACGGCATCATGACCAGCAGTATGAGCATGCACGGCAGCTATAAGAAGACAGATCGAGGGATACGGCAATGCTGGCGGAGGAGTCGGCCGAAACCTTCATGCCAGGGAAAGTAAATAGACGCACTGCTTAAGTGAGGGAACGGATCACGTATACGTTGTGCATGTACTGCTGATATGAGCTGCGCACATGTGGGAAACGGGGACGAAGAGGCCAATGCAGCGACAACGCCAATCTATTCGATAGTCAGAAAAGCTCCCGAGCTAGCCACCAGGCGTCGCACCAAGATTCGTTGAAGTACCCTAATGTCGTGTGTAACAGCGACAGTTTCTTGAATTTGTTCGAGCACTTTCCGATCTGCGATAAAATTGTCGATAGCTAGGGTCCATAACGGCTCCCACTCTTCCTCTGGGGGTTCAATTCGGGCCCGTAACACTCGTTCTATAAGCTTCATCCAGAATGAGAACTCTGTCGGAGCAGCAGTACGCAACATTCGCCCAGAGAACCTGCTCTTGACCCTTTTCTCCAAAAGGTTGATTGTATCTATCCTTGTAGTTACCCCAATGACTGCAATGCCATTGTGTCCTTGACCGACTCTACAGCTTTGCGCAGTATCCAGTAAACAGTAAAGAAGTGCCTGCCGAGCGTGTAACGCAAAGAGGTCGAAGGCATCTAAAATGACTACCACTGGCCGCGAAAGCGTGGTCAAGGCTGATACCAACGCGGGGAGATGGGATGGGGGCGGGATGTCGATGCTTGGGCCGGCGTCCAGGAAAGGATTGTCGTCATCATCTTGGCCATCGTCATTATTAAGTTCACCGAGGTAAGTTTTGCCTGTTTGGAGAGAGAGCTGTCGCGCGATTTCTCGAAGTGCGAGGCGATCATTGAGTTCGGTATGACCCGAAAGCCTGATAACAATCGGAGTCTGGTCCAGGGACGCGACAGCTCGATCCACAATCTTGAAACATTGGCTTTAATATGGTTAGCCGACGGAAAGATATGGGCAGCTTACGGTAGTCTTTCCGCTGCCGCGTGGTCCTAGGACAAAACAACTATTGCCCTCCCCACGAGTGACAGTTCCCGCAAGTAGATCCTTTAGTTGCTGAGAGGCTGCCGTGTTAGTAGGGCCAAGAATAGCGTCTTCACTGAATTCCATGCTACAATTTTGTAGTTCCAATAGCATAGCGCACTTCTGTAGACGGAGGCATGTGCCGAGATGAGAGGGGAGATTGCGAGGAATGCGAGTAGGTGACTGGGGTCTAGAAGCTGGAGGCTGATCTTTTTTGGGAGACATCGACTGTAGCCTATCCCTACTTGTTGTACTCGGAAGTTGATCGGTCCGATTAGGTGAGTTCTGGAGAGGCAGGACGTTCTGAAGGGAGGAAGGACGGCTTGGCGATGCGGCAGCTAGTTCTGCTACGTGATATGCAACACCTGTGGTTGTGGCAGGCGTCTTAGCAGGAGGTTGTCGCGTACTAGGCGCCGGTGAGGCTGCGAAAGCAAGCTTTGGGAATGATCTAGGTGTCGTGATTTCTACAGAATGCAAAAGGACGCGTCCAACGTGAGGTCTAGGTGGAGGCGTTGTGCAATTGACCGGCAGTTTGGGGGGAGAGAGATTCAGCTCATCGGCGTCATCGGAGTTGTCAGGTTCTTCTTGTTTGTGAGGACTCATCATCGGGTTATTCTGTTTTCTATTCCTTGTTGAAGGTGATGAAGGGTCGGTCTTCTTGAGGGGTGACTGCCTGGCAGCTGGCTGCGTCTTGCGGGTTCGTGAGGGGCGTGCAGATTGCACCGGTGTATCCAGCTGTGCATCAGCTTGGAAGCTTTTGCTGCTCTGCTGGATAACTTTCTTCGGAGAGTTGCTAGACCGGACTGATGGTGCAGCTAGTCCAGAATTGTTCTGTCGAGCACTGGCTCTAGTGGCGCGCTTGGGAGGAGAAGCCTCAGTGACAGCGTCGGGGTCCTCACGCGTCTTGCGTTTAGGCATTTGTGATGATAGATGATGGAGATCAGGAGTAAGTAGCTTCAAGGTACTAACTGTATTTTGAGTCTAACGCGTCTTGTCACGCGTCTTGTGGTCACAAGTGGACAGTGTCACAGGTCCACAGTTGAGTGACTTTACTATTGACCAACTCTTTTGTTTCATGGGATTCACAGGGCGAGTCATTTCAGTACCAGTTTGGCGTGGCTAATCTGATACATGATCCAGGCTTGCTCGATGGATCAATGCACCAAGCACAGGTCTCGAACTCATCCGTGAAAATATAGTGCGAAACCACCATGTTCGTCGCAACGAAAACTCAATCCTCATCCCGGTTCGTTGATGCCGCTCGTAGGGTCAGCTCCGAGGAAGATGGTTCCTGAGCGTCAAATCTTACCGCTCGACACTGGGTTCAATACCCGGCCTTCCAGTCCACTCAGAGCGCTCCATGTGCACTCTGGCGATGAATGAGAATGTCTTTGTCCTTCTAGAGGATCCTGCAGCACCTACTCGTGCAGATATTGTTCAGAACTCCCAGACTACCGATGGACAGGTTTTCCCAGTCCCACCACACTACCGAACTACTTTCCTCACACTCCGTCCGCCCGGCGCATTAGAACAAGTTCTACATCAGTTGAGAGCACGCTGGATCCCCGTCAGGCAAACAGCCCCTGGCGCGCAAAGAAGTCAGGGCGGTCAGCAACTCTCTGTGGAAGGTTTTGTTTTTGCTATTGGCAATGATTGGCTTGTCCGTGTTGGTCATGTAGTCCTTGCTGGTGGTGCCGTCAAAGGTATGCTTCTTGAGGTGAGCGATCAACGTTATCAACCTTCGTATGTAGCAAATTAATTTAATCTATAATGATGTACAGGCCGAGTATCTCCCATTACCGGTTCTCCTCTCTCAAACTGCAGACGGAACCTCAGAACTTTTATCAAACCTTCTCACATCTGTCCTCCCAAATATTCGAGAGGCTAAAACAGTGGCGGTCACCATCAGCGATTCTCAGTGGGAAGAAGTACTTTGGGATCGTGAGGAAGAGGAAAGACAGTTGTCACAGGAGAAAGCAGAGTCGGAAGGGGACCCAAATAATATATATGTCTTTGGCGACGAAGGATTAGCCTCCGAGAAGAAGGGGGATTGGATAGGAGTCGATAGAGACCGTAGATCGGCTTTCTTGATTATTGGCGCATTAAAATCAGAGGGCATTTTGTAGTTTGCACCTACGATTGCCTTCTGAAGAGTAGTTTATGCTACTGGTGATGCGGACTTTACGTTGTTGGTGTTTATAGGGATGGTTCTTCAGTGACTCGTATCACCCACTAAACGGCTACCCATGAACGTTTGAGGCACCATCGGCACCTTCTTCCATTCGACCATGTCATGGCGGTTTCGAAATAGTTGGCATGCAAGCGCTTGCGCCCGAAACTTACAAAGGCACTCCTCCAGTCAGGTCCAGCCCCAGTCAACCGCGCTCCACTTTTATCAAAATCGCCAGCTAGAGCTCTATGCTTCAAAGGAAGCAAACAGGCTGAGCCTCCGACAGCTCGTGAAACTACTTTTGTAAACCCATTTCTTAACATACTCATGATGTGATAGGTGTTCTTTGGGCGGTCTATGAACGAGGAGAAACTGATAAAGGTGAGCGCTTGAGGGGGCATAATGTTAACGCCAATGTTCAATCTCATTTGTTACAGAGCGCTAATTATGTCCGCACCGAGCTGCCTGTCCGCATCGCGCACAGGCTGAGGGATTTGCAAGCCCTTCCGTATGTAGTGGTAACTCAGGAGGGCGTAGCTCAAGTCTATGAGGTTTGCTCCAGTAACACTACTTCATAGCTTGTTCTTGACCTCGGGCAACTTTACAGTTGTATTGGTCCGCATTTGAGAAGTCAGTAACTTGATTGCGCAGAACGTACTTTTTCTGACTTGTTTATAAGGTTTCGACGCTACCCCCAGGTCACCACCTTGGAAGAGAATCAGGCGTTTTGTGAGTTCCTCGAGAGTATTCTGGACGAGCAGTAATACACTATTTTGATCCATTGTGCTCCTGGTTCTAACTACTGATATCCCAGTGCACCCGTCATACCAAGTCTGTCGCTGGGACTCTCCCTTTCATCTCCGCACCTTCCACCAGATTGCCTAGATGCATTCATGAGACGCATGCTCGTATCCCGAATCTCAAGGCGTGTTCTCGCCGAACATCACCTTGCGCTCTCGAAGTCGCTCGCAACTAACAGCCTCAATCTCCCTGATGACCCACATGTCGGCATTATTTACACGGCGCTCAACCTTAGACATTCCATCGACAAGTGCGTCGCGCTCTTGCGTGGCAGGCCGCACGATATAGAAGATGAAATTGGGGAGAGCGTGCCAAATCGTGGATGGCCGGAAGTGATTGTTGACGGTCATGTCGACACTAAGTTCTCCTACATACGCGAACACCTCGAGTAAAATCTTTTCACTCGCATCGTGTTTAATCTCACTCACGCCTCATTATCCAGGTACATTATATTTGAACTTCTCAAAAACGTGCAGGTTCTCGGATCACATCTAAATGGGTGGTTGGCTCACCGCGTTCTAGGCAATGACGGCTACTGGACTGAATCATCGGAGTTCATCTAGCCTTCCTCCTATACGCGCTACCATCGTTGTTGGCGAGAACGACGTTGGGGTGAGAATATCCGATCAAGGTTGGCACCCCTTTTCTCGCCTACAGGCGAATTTAAAGTGAATATCTATAGGTGGTGGTCTGTCATCAGCTCGGATAAAGTCACCCTCCGACCTCTTCTCTTTCTCTCACATCCGCAATGCAACACGCATGGATGACACACGGCTGGGCGCACTACGCTCCGCAAGCTCAAGAGGCGTCAAAGCGACTGTTGCAGAGCAAATACGCCCATGGCGGACTGAACAGTCGAATGTGAATTCAAACAATAAAGATCCTGAACGTGAGGCTGGCATTGCGCCACATCCCAAAATTGGGCTGGGACTGCCTATGAGCAACATATTTACAACGTACGTGGTTCTTGGCTAGTGCCTTTATAACGTCAACTGGGCACCTTTATAGGTATTTCGGAGGTACCCTGGAGTTGGTTTCCCTGGATGGTTGGGGTGAGTAAGGTTTATCCGTTGTATTCGGGCCGCGTGTTGATTTAATGAAGGAACGGATGTTTATTTACGCTTGCCCAAGCTGGTGAGTTTCTTTTTCAGTCAGCAGGTATCAACATGTGACGCTAGGCCAAGGGCACGAACCTTGAGGGTATTGAGCTATAGGAGTCCCACTGCCATGCACGTGAACTTCGCCTATAAGTATGTATTACCGTTGTCATTTCAACTTCCTGTGGCATCAAATAACGCAGCTGGTGAGATTTATTCTACCCAGATATTATCCGCATAAGCTCATCTAGTAACTTTTACAGTAGGAGTACATAGTGCAGGGTATTTTTCAGTGAGGGCTTGTAGTTCATGAACTAGTTCCTTGTGAAGTGGATAGACTTCGCAATCACCACTGCCTCACGACATCCAGTGCGTAGTCACCGAATGTTGTTCATGAGGCAGCAAACAATATGGGCTTCATCCGAGTCGATCACATCTTGCGAATTCTCCGGAGATCCTCCTGTTGCCTCGTGCTGCCTGCTCACAGTTCAAGTTGTACCTGTGACATGCGTACACGATATCCCTCTACTTTGAGTAGTGCCTCCGAGAGTTCGCACGTCATCGTGAGATGACTCATGATGAGTATGTAATAATAACTTGACATATGTCAGGGCTAGTAGCAAGCAGCAATTGCTGTGTATACATGTTGGCAACACTAGACTCTCCGTTGGACCTGGGCGTTTATCTCTTCTCTTAACGAAACACTCATCTTCGACTTTGTTCGATGTCCTTGCCGTCCCTCTTTAGAGCACCAAACCTGGTTCATAATGAGCAGTGATTCCTGTAACCCACCCCCGCCTTCATACGAGCTCTCCCAGCAGGGCCATGACCGGAAGATTGTTGAAAAGAAACTCCAAGAACTGCTCTTATCAAAGATCCCTATTCATAATGTCGAGGAAGAGCGCGACGAGGACGATAGTAAAGATTCTAAAGAATCAGAGGAGCAGAAGCAGAAACAGCCTTTAAGTTTGTTCCAGACCCCAGTACAACCGCTTCACATACAAAAGCGTACACCTCGGGGAGCTCGCCCCCTTCCTCCAAGCCCAGCAGACGCCCAATATTCCCGCAGCAAGCCAGTTGCCATCCACCCAATTAGTCCTCTCAAAGAGGAACCAGAGTACTATCAAGAGCTTCTCTCGCCTCCTCCACCTTTCACAGCTGTAGGTCCTTCCCTTGAAGGACCTCCGTACGATTGCTCGATGTATCATGCCAGTGGCTCTGCATCACAACCACCACCCAACCGTACTTCCTTTAATCCACCCCCAATCCGTCGTGGACAGCACCGTCCCTCTTCATCATATTCCCCCGCTGAACCACCCGTAGAGACTTCTTATCGACGCATTTCTCATGGCTATTATCCCGAGCCCTCTAGCTCGAAGCATTTAACGCCAACGCCCCCAGGAAAAAGCTCAAATGCCCGACTAAATTTTAACCCATCAGTTGCCTATGCAACCTCATCTAGCTCCATGTATGATCCTTGGGAGCACGCATCTGACTCGACAGCAGTTAATGCTGCTTCACTCTACTCGTATGTGATACAGTTGCCATTTTTATGCTAGTCATCTGATTGATGGCGTATACAGGTCAGCGGTATCATCCTATTTACATCCAGCGTCAGCTGTCAATTCAGGTCCGCGCCCGTCCTACATGTGAGTTACCAACCTTTAGTCGAGTCCGAAACCTACCTGATGCATATGATGTAAAAGTGGGGCCAAGAACAGATTTTCAACGCCTCCTCGACCTTCTGCATCTTACGAATCACTTACGCCTGCAAGCAACCCAGGATCTCCTGCTTTGCAATTCCACTCACCTTACGTACATCCTTATTCGGCTTCTCAACAGTCACTCCCTCGGCATGCTCAATCTAAGTCAAACCAAACGGGTCATGTTCGATGGGCCTCAGAAGTCAATCTTAAAGACAAATACCCGTGATCTACTACCGTATCATCTTGTTGCTATTCACTCAACTGTACTACGAGGTCTCAGGCGTCCTACTCTTATTACCCCCAATTATGATATCTTACTTCGTGTACATGCGTTCTCCAGATGTAGCCCAAATAGTATGGAGTCCCTTGACTTATCACTAGTATTATACTAGTACCTACATATGAAATCACAACTCAAAAGTTACCATCAGAACCTAGAATATTTTATTGTCACATTTACATAGCTAAGTAGCCGATCAACATACTCGACCTCGGCCATTAATTGGAGATAGGTGACGCGGTGAGCCCTCACTGTCATGCAACGCTCGAGCAGTCAGTCGACGACTTCAAGTTCGTCAGGCTCAGGTAAACCAGCCGACTATGTTACTTTTGAGCGTAGTGCTGCTGGTTTCTCGGACGATGCTGTTCACCGTGCAAAAGCCGCACAGCTCAAACTGGAGCATTTCTACAAGGTTGCTGTAGAGGCAGCCATCGAGCGGAACACCAGGTACGCTGAGAAGTGCCTGTCGACTTAGAAGAAGGCTCTGATGGGTTCGCAGGCGCGTTGAGCTTGAGAGGAAGCTGCAGACCGCTGTCATGACGTCCGAGGACAGGAAACATCGCCAACTGCAACAACTGGGAAAGAAGGAGTCTACTTACCTTCGACTTCGGCGGACGCGGTTAGGTTTGGATGACTTCAGAACAGTCAAGGTGATCGGGAAGGGTGCTTTCGGTGAGGTGGGTGGTCTTGTCGACTCAGTCAGCATACTCTATACGGTGTCATTGCGTGCAGGTCAGGCTAGTCCAAAAGACTGATACCGGTAAAATTTATGCCATGAAGACATTGAAGAAGGAGGAGATGTTGAAAAAGGACCAGGTACGTGTTTCTTCTTCGCTGTGACAGATGCAGGCGACTGGAACTTTCTTCGTAGTTGGCCCACGTCCGTGCTGAGCGCGATGTTCTGGCCGAGTCCAATTCCGCTTGGGTGGTTCAGCTGTTTTATTCCTTCCAGGACCCACAGACGCTGTATCTTATCATGGAGTTCCTCCCTGGTGGGGACCTCATGACCATGCTCATTAAATATGATACATTCTCCGAGGACGTCACTCGATTCTACATTGCAGAATGTGTACTTGCCATCGACACTGTCCATAAGCTTGGCTTCATCCACAGGTCAGCATAGCCTTTCTTCACTTTACTGGTCTTATACGTTCTCGCAGGGATATCAAGCCTGACAACATCCTAATTGACAAGGATGGCCATATAAAGTTGTCTGATTTTGGACTGTCGACTGGTTTTCACAAGCAGCACGATTCAAGTTATTACCAGCGGCTTTTGGACTCTTCCAACGGCGTGCAGTCACCGGCTGCCGCCGCCCGTAACAGTGTCATGGTCAATGCCATACACTTGACTATGTCAAGCAAAGGCGAAATCGCCACATGGAAAGCCAACCGTCGGAAACTGGTAAGGACAGTGCTATGCTATGTCCACAGCAAACACTGATTTGGTGGCGTAATAAGGCATATTCGACTGTTGGGACTCCTGATTACATTGCCCCCGAAATCTTTCAGCAGAAGGGTTATGGCAATGAGTGTGATTGGTGGTCGTTGGGTGCGATTATGTTCGAATGCCTCGTTGGATATCCCCCCTTCTGCTCCGAAAATACGCACGATACCTATCAAAAGATCATGCAATGGCAATACCACCTAGTGTTCCCGGATGATGTCCATCTGAGTCGAGAAGCCGAAGATCTGATTCGGCGGTATGAAGCCCAAAACATAACTGCTGAATAGTTGTACTTACATCTTCGGCAGACTCATCACATCTCAAGATCGGCGGTTGAATATTGAACAGATCAAGAATCACCCCTTCTTCTATGGTGTGGAGTGGGACACTATACGCCTGATTGATGCCCCTTTTGTGCCACATCTTCGCTCGATCACGGATACGTCGTACTTCCCTACGGACGAGATTGACCAGGCACCAGCTGAAGGCCCTGTAGTGGAGGCCGCCGATGCTCAAAAGGACCTTGCGTTCCTTGGGTATGATGTCTATTCAGCTTTATCTTGTTGTCGGTTACTCATGGTTTGACAGATATACCTTCAAACGATTCACGATCTCATCGCACGCTGTTTGATGTTGGACTATTCGCCAATGGTCGTATGATGTATATATGCAAGGTTTGTACATATGTACAACTTTACGGCGGACTCGCTGTAATTTCGATATCGGTGTGCATGTATCACCTTGTCCGGCTACTATATATTGAATTCAGAAAGAATGATGACCCGACATTTTGGGTATCGACGATGTCCTGCCTCATTGAATTATTCACATAGCCACCTCCGTGCGGACATTCATGCATCTATGAAGCATGCCAACCGTCTATCTAAACTCTATGTACACCCTGTTAGCTGGGAAGTTCCGGAGTATATGATTGGGCGCATGTCAGCGGGTCATTCAACATGCATTTCATCAGGTAAGCTGAAGTTCGGGATTCCATTGAAAGTTCCTTGACACTAACGATGATGGTCAAGCCGCCCAAGCATGGTTTTGACATGTCTATAGAATCCCGGTGTATCGCATTCATACTGCGGAACGTATTCTTGTATCGGCGCTCGAGGCAGTGTTTCGAATTTTCAAATACATTGCAAATTGCGATAATTTTAGTTGACCATTCACAGACCGTATCGGGGTCATAGCATGTTCAAAAACAACCTACGATTCGTACGAGGTAAGTAAGGATTTAGCTGCAAATGAAACTGAAATCCCACCTTGAGATTTTCTACGTCATCTTGTCGCACCAATTTGTGGTGTAGTCCTGTCATGAGTCGGCCACCACCACCGAATCTCGAAAGATTTGACCAATATCATGAACGACACCCCGATCCGTCTTATACATCTATCGGACATGAAGCTCGTTGGGCGTTATGACGTGAAGAAGCGCTCGCAGGGCTTTGTCCCTCTAGATAGGGTGGTACGTTATCCCTGGCAAATCTATGATCCCTCCCAAACAGTCAAATATGCCGTTCTGTCTCACCGATGACTGAATGAAGGAGAACCACCTATGAAGAGATGAAAAATGACACGGTAGCAGCTCTGGGATATGAGAAGCTGAGGAAGTTTTGTGACAAAGCCAAAGAATACAATGTGGAATTCGTGTGGTCGGATACCTGCTGCATCGACAAGAGCAGCCATACTGATATCGGTGATTCGATCCGCTCTATGTTTCGGTGATACAGAAACTCGACCATTTGCATCGTTCATCTGGCATAAAGCGGGACCTCAGATCTTATGATGGGTAATGAATGGATGAAGAGAGGCTTTGACTCTTGTCGCTTGATCACCCGTCAGGGGCATACAGTGCTTGTTGAAGAATCTGATCCTTCTGGGTGTAAGAAGTTCGGGCAATGTCCGGAGTCGATCTGGAGATTCTGGAGCGAGCCACTGGCATTCCCCATGAAGACTTATACGAAATTTATCCTAATGCGTACAAGGGGGTGGATGAACGGACTCGGACGTCGTGGTCAGCCGGGCGCACAACAAAGGTCGAAGACGTGGCCTATTCCCTGATGGAAATTTTCGATGTCAGCATGCAAGTCGCATAAGGAGAAGGAAGAGTACGTGCATTCTCCAGACTCACGGAGGCCATCATGAGGACCGGTTCCCCATCAGTATCTTCAACTATAAAGGCCATGCTGCATCACATCACAGTTCTCGTGCGGTTCTTCGGTCGCCATAGAGCTTTCTAGGCCATCCAGACTTTGAGTTACCCACTGAACATAGAATCCATTTGGAAATGACTATGATTAGCTTCGGCTTGCACAGCGAGTGCCCCTGGTGTTACTCCCTCTCCATTCACGTTCGAGAACGGCGTTGGAAAATGGGTACTATGATTCAAACGCATCGTATTTGACTGCCGGCTGTGTCATATCCAACCAGCGAGCTTGATATCACCGAATTCCGAGTGCAGCTGAGGCTTCCGCGCCCCGAGAGTCGCTCGAGATTGTCAATTATTCGCTTCGCCACGATAGAGTCTAGCGCAGGTTGGTCGGTCTCATCTTGACAAGAAATTCACAGAATGCTGGTGCCACTACCTGTACACTGGACCCTAACGCCCTCGTCGGGCTCAAGGTCATTCAGCCTCAGGAAGAAATATTCAAGATGGATCATGGGGCATACTACAACGTTGATTTTATAGGCGTACCGAGTGAATCGCGTTTCTACATTAAACGTGAATGCCTAGAGGTTGTTTACTTCTAACATTAGTTGTCGTTAGAACGGACTTGGATACTGCTACGGTTCTTGACTTTGTGGTGTAAATTAGCCTAGCTGTTGCGGTATTGTTGGTCCATTTCTCATATTACCGTCGTTCTCCGTCGATATGGTGAGGGGAGGGATTGACAATTTCGGATTCAGAGTCTTGTGATCAATTGATGACCAAAGTTTTTAGCAGTTGTTTGGCGATATCACAACAAGTTATCAGCGACTGTCACGGTAGTTATTGAATGAGCTAGGCGGGTTTACAGCCATTGGGTCAAAGATCACTAGCACTGGTGCACTTCCGAACGTCTTGCCCAAGCATGTCACAATCTGCTGCATTTGCTGGCTTGTGGTCGTCGCTTCCAACACCATTAACACCATGGGTGTGAGTCCACCGTCATTTAAACTTGAAGCATTCATGTAGTGAGACCAAAGTTTTCTAGTCTGGATGTTATACAATCATTGGGGCATACCCAAATGACGCCCGTTCAAGCTTCTACAATACCGCTGTTTATGCAGCATAAGGACGTGGTAGTCGAGGCTGTAACAGGTTCTGGCAAGACACTAGCGTTTGTCATCCCTATCCTCGAGCGTCTTATCAGAAGGGATGCTAGACTCAGAAGAAACGAGGTTGGTGCACTGGTCATCAGTCCTACGAGGTGAGTTTGTGAGGAACTCTTAAGTTGCTCATTGTCTAATCCTGGTCCTCCTTCGAAAGAGAGCTTGCAACTCAGATTCATTCCGTATTTTCTCTCTTCCTGAATGCCCAACCAGATAATAGCACATCGAAGGAGTCTGAACATGGAGAAGGATCACCGCCACCCCTAGCAGACACTGAATGCTCAGGAGCAGGATTTCCTCCACCCCTTCTACTTGTTTCATCAGATAAATCTTCCCCAGCTCAGGATATACAGCGGTTTCTCTCTACTGGTGCTGATATCATCATCGGGACACCTGGACGCATGGAAGAATTTCTTATAGGAAAAGGGAAAACTGTTGTTAGCGTCAAGGAGTTGGAAGTGTTGGTGTTGGATGAGGCAGACCGGTGAGCCTCTCCCGTTTGCAGGAACTTGTTTTCTGAAGACGTTCAAAGTTTACTGGACCTAGGCTTTCAAGCTGCTCTAACTCGCATTATTACTCATATTCCGAAACAGAGGAGAACTGGTCTTTTCAGTGCGACGATGACAGACGCTGATGCTCTTTCTGAATTGGTTCGCGTTGGCTTACGAAATCCTGCTCGCATCGTTGTCAAAGTTCAATCAAAGAGAACAAAGGGAACGAAGTCGGGAACCTTACAAGAAACTCAAGTCATCGAGGAAAGGCGGATACCTGCAGGGTAAGGTGTATGTGCTACGTAACACTTCTTACCTATTCCTCTCTCCTCAGACTTCAAAACTTATACATTAGCTGTCTCCCATCCGAAAAGTTGGTTCAACTGACACGTATAATCAAGCAGGAGTCGTCATCTCATCACGCACCACACTTCATTGTGTACTTCGCGACTTGCGCATGCGTTGATTATTTTTATCGCGTGAGCGTTCTTACATCGATGTTTTGCTCCTGAATTCCAAATGAGATTTAGATTTTATCAACGCTGTTACCATCAAATGTCCAACTCCATTCCCTCCATGGACACCTCCCTCCCGCGGCCCGCACTCGTGCTCTCTCGGCCTTTTCTTCGACTCTGTTGTCGTCCTCTTCCCCTTCAGTGCTTCTTGCTACGGACGTCGCTGCCCGAGGACTCGATATTCCTCATGTTGATGTTGTCATTCAATTCGACCCTCCATCTGACTCAAAAGCCTTTTCCCATCGTTGCGGTCGGACAGCTAGAGCCGGAAGGAGTGGGAAGGCATACGCACTTCTAGTAGGAAGAGAAATTGAGTATATTGGTCTGTTTTCATACGCACTCATATTGCGACTTCGATCTGACGGCGGTGTCAATAGATTTCTTATCTGTTCGAAAAATTCCAATCAGGCAGCATCCTTACATACTAGCAGATGGAAGCAAAGCGCCGGAAACGGATTACTCCTCGACAGAGGATGATGTTGTTAATACCTTCATTTCCCAAATCAGACAAACTGTCATGACAGACCGCGCGCTGCATGACAAGGTAGCTGCCATTTCTAAACCTGATATGTGTGGCCATTCTCACAGTTTAACAGGCTGTGAAGGCGTTTGTCTCCTTCGTTCGTGCATACTCGAAGCATGAGGCCTCCTACATCTTCCGAATCAAAGACCTAGACTTAATAGGCGTTGCCAAAAGCTTCGGTCTGCTGCGTCTGCCACGAATGCCCGAACTAAAAGATCGTGATAAATCACAATGGGAAGGCGCAGAACTCGACGTATGTTCAATAATTCTCAGATATCGCACATGCTGATTGCGCTGATGAATGAAGTGGGATTCATACTGTTATGCGGACAAGGCACAGGAAGCCAAGCGAATTGAAGAAGATTCGAAGAAAGCTGTAGTAAAGCACGACTCCGAGACTCGAGCTGCCAAGCGCAAGCGCAATGCTGCATGGAGTCAGCAAGCTGATGATAAGGAAGACAAAGACAAGCGTCGGACACAAAAAGCGAGGAAAAGGCAATGGCTTAAAAGCCAGAATGTTGTCAGTGGCGACTCAAAAGGTGCCCTCCAAACAGGCAGAGCCAAGCTAGAAGAGAGCGGCGGAGAGGACGATTGGGACGAACTGGCACGAGAAGAACGATTAGCCAAAAAACTGCGGAAGGGGGCTGTCTCGCAGAAAGAATTCGATCAGGAGTTCGCTGACTTGTGAAGGTATGGAGATACTTCGTGCCCTCTGTCTTGATCTGAAATCGCCATTCCTTGTCCAAGGTGATTCTGAACATGTAGTGACCTGGTGCTTAAATTTATACAAGCGATCCGTTCACCTTCGGACGTTTACCGTGAATTACAGTAAGAGATGTCTGTATATTACGTGGCTCCGAAGCACGAGGAGTAGCGTTTTGGATACCAACAATGAGGAGCAGGCGGAAGCCTTGGTGGTAAAGAACAGGAGTATAATTAGGAGAAAAATCAAAGAGTGGAGACACGCATTGGAAAAGGTGGAGTACTGACAGACATGGAGATAAGCGCACGACGCGCGGAAACAATAGACTGCCAAGTGCATACTGATAGTGAGCGATGGAGTGCATGTGGAGCTCAGGTGGAGTACGCACATGCACGCGAATTGCTTCCGTGGGATCAGCCGTTGAACGTTAACCATCATGTTAGAATTTGAAAGTTAAATATGATCAACATCCAGGAAAGCACGTGCCAGTTTGGCTACCAAGGCGTGGTCACTGGCCAGCACAAACATATCCACAAACTGAGCAATTTGGGTAATGAATACCAGATCCCATGGTAGATGAGAGATCTGTCAAAAACATAGTAGAATATCGATCGCTGTGGAAATACAACAGCTTGCTAATCCGAATCGACCTTATCATGTATCCTTTACACGTAGGTTCGGTCGCATCTACAAGGAAGCAGTGAGTAACAAGTATGAAGTCAAGTTTAATAGAAGCTCACCACTTCCACAAATAACGGCAACAGCCGTGGAATGTAAACCAATTCAGGAGGCTTGAGCGTGTTAGTGGATCCCTTCGATTTGCGCGGTGGGTGATCTGATGCGCGCTCAAGGTTTTCCGCGGAACGTGTAGTTGTGGCGGGGGGAGGTGGGGGGTAACGGTTTGTCCGCACGATAAAGTGATGGCGGTAATGGTGGGACCGGAGGGACATCTTTCCAGTTCGTCTGATGGGGGAAATTAGCAGATTTCGTACTCCGTAATGAGATGGATCGCTGGCGGATAGAAGGGGGAGGTTGATGTATAATAGGTGGAGGTGTCAGCGGGCGTTGTGGGGACGATATATGCGGAGATGGCCTAGCTGTTTGAACTCGGGACCGAGTTGGAGTTGACCCTTTCTCCTCGCTCTCCTCGCTTTCGGCATCTTCATAGCTCCCCGAACTGTCCGTTTCGTACTCACTGGAAGACTCATCGCTTTCGTCATCCGTTTCCTCCGCGGCAAGATCGAGAGCATCACTTTGTACCAGTTCCCCGAAATTAATTTCCCCTGCCACGCCGCGCACCAGTGCCTGCGTGGCTTCATCTTCAGCATCCGCATCATCATGTCCTTGAGCCCGTGTGAACCGCCTGCGCACTTTTTCTTCGTGTGCGATCTTCAGCTTGTAATGGTAGCGAGCGAGCTCGTCTATTTCGTTCATCATATCCGTGCGCTCTTGCCCGCCGTGAGGCAGTAACCATTCAAGCGATACCGGTGATCCTAGACCTTCCCGGACGACAGTAAGGAATATTTCAATCCACTGCATCAGGCTTTCAAACAAGCCCTTCCCGTTTGCATGTACCTTGTGCACGAAAGAGTAAAATGCTTGCTCGTGCCGGCCGACGAGATCGATAAAGGTTTGCACGGTGGCCTGGGGATCCTCTTCGCTCACTAATCGCTCGATGGTCAGACTTTCTTCGTTAAGAATCGGTACGAAGAGCTTACTGTCTTCCGTAGCCTCGACGACCCTAATTAAATCGGTGATGAAATTCTGCAGATCTGATACAGAATTTCCAATATTGGCAGCCCGGTATACTTGGGCTAATGGCGCATAGAAAATGGAGATGATATCCTTGAGCAACTCGGCGGTAACACCCTGAGAGTGCGTCAGCGGAGATACTGACAATTTATCAAGCGAGCTGACCTCAAATATCAGTGCAATCAACTGTTCCAAGTCTCTCAATCGGGAGTAAAGCTGCGCGAGCACCTTTAGATCCTCAAACAGCCATGCCTCCTCATCGGTTGGCCCATCATCATCGTCTGAGTCCGCGAGGTTTTCCCGCTCCCTCAGATACGCCGCATGTGCAAGATGCGCCCGATGCACTCGGCGTAATTGGTCACGATTCAACCTGGGTTCTTCTCCAGAGCGCAGAACGACAGAAAGTACGGAAATTTTCCCCTGCTTTGCGTTCGTTCGATACGTGTCCTGGATCTCGCGTGGGGCGTTGACAAAGAGGCGGAGCTTCTCACACATGACCGGGTCATCAACTTTGGCTTTTACAGCTTCGATATCTTCTTCGATGATTGTGACCTCTTCCGTAAGGGAGCTAGAGAACATTCTGGCAAAGCATTAACAGGCTGATTCACCAGTTAAAATTGGATTACCGTTGAAGGAGACTTCTTCCACCGAAGGGAGTCGCCAGAAAAATGTCCACCACGCCTAGCCTTCATCAATACATGAGTCCTGAGAGGGTATGTGCACCTTACTGCGTATCATGGCAACTGGACTGCTTATCTTGAGTGCTGTCTTTAGCAAAAAGTAAGGCATTAATCCATGTAAACGCTTCATGCTCGCAAATGTTTCTGACGCAGTGTCAGACGCGACAAACATTTGGAAGATCGTCGAGGCTAGCCTACCAAACAATTAATTCTCTGGTCATGGGAAGGAACGTATACGCACGTTATTCTGCCCCATTCCGCCACAGCCTGATAATCAGGAGGTAATTGATTTATGTCGGGAGTCACCTTAATTATGGCGAAAATATGACTAAGTCCATCTATGAATATGTGAGATTGGTGATGAATAACTCCTGGAGTTGACAGACCTTTTCCCATAATATCGCCCTTGACGCTCTTCACTGCATCTCTTAACTTATCAACACGCGCAGCAATTTCGTGCGCAAACCGTTTCCTCCCATTTTCACGGATTCTATCTGCATCTTCTCTTATCCGAGCATCTTCTACCTCTTCAGGACTCAAACTAGTAGGTCCGCTGAGTAAGAAAGATTTGAGTACGGGAGAACTCCCGATTGTCCCAGTGTTCATGAGAGAGTGCAAATAAGCTCTAAGAGTCAGCCTGTTTTTTTCCCGGGACAGCCGCGGTGGAGATCTTCCATTCACAAACTGCTGAGAAGATAGAGAGTGCGGGAGCGACTCAGATGAACCATCCGAGGACGTGGCACCGTAATCGGAGAGGGTCGTGCGCTGCATCCGTGACACTATGGAGACATCTGGAGGAGAAGTCGAGCGGGGAATATTGACGATCGTACGATCTTTGACGGGCGGGGAAGGTACCACCTCTTCAGGATGAAATTTGCGCAACTACACAGGAAATGTAATGGGCTGTGTCAAGGATTGAGGCGCACAAAGTCGTACCTCATCTGCAAGCGTTTTGAAGTCACCATACCTTCGGGCCACGCAAACCTCCTTGTTTTCTGATAGCCGAGTCCTGATGATGAATTCCTATACAAGGCGATGAGGACATCGACGATTGATGATCGATATATGCCAGCAAACCTCGTGAACCCGACTGCGGACCCGACCCCTGTCTGTGACAGTCCTCACACATATAATGTTTACTTCGAATACGTCGCGATGTTTGGCTAACCGTGCCTGCCGCTTCTTAGCCAATTGCTCGAGCCGGTCGAGGTCATGTTGGTTGAGCCGGACGACCTCTTCTTTTTCTACTAGCTTTGTACCAGCGCTGAAAAGTAGGGCAACGTTCCGCTCCAATTTGTCAAGTAATTTGAGGCGAGTAGCCTTGGGGTCGTTTTCATCCTCAAGTAATGAGGTGGGGGATATGTTCTTCGCAAGAGCGGAAGCAACAAATACTTGTAGTTTATTCGAATAGAAACTTTGATCTGCAGCTGCGAGGAATGGGAATGTTAGAACAAATTGGCGGAAAATATACTTCAAGAAGGGTAAGTCAAGGGGCTGAGCACCGGTTGGGGGTGGTGTAAACGGGGCCCCGAGGTATGCAAGGGTGGAGCCGCCATCATCAGGTGCATTTGTTATACAATCTAATTCTTTGTGGAATTGAAGTTGTATTAGTGATTTCTTCAAGTAGTGAGCACGGAGAGGTGTCAGAGCCAAATAGTGCTCCTCCGAGTCGGAAGGAACAGGATCTTGCGGATCATGATCAGTTGGCTTTGGAACCGGAGGTATCTGGCGGGTTGGTCGACGTGGCCGATGCTTTGAAGTCGAGGAATGGGCCTGAGGAGGTGATGTGGTCATGACAAGGAATGGTGGATGCCCGCAGTTGGGGGCTCCAGTGACAGCTGGTCAAGCCTCGATATGTAAAGTCGGCCACATTAGGCTGGCACTGCCACTCTAGGGGCTATTTCTCCTATATTGTCACTAATACTGTGGAGTACTAACTACTGTTCGGGGTATACACTTTGGATCCTTTATACGTTCTTCTGTGAGGCTCATCAAGTAATTTCTTAAGCTTGGCAGCAACCTCCTTCACACCCTGACGACAATCCTCCATTCCCCGCCAAGTTCCGGCCACACTCCAGCATTCAGAACACGCTTTCGACGCCTCGTTGACTGTCTCAAGTTCCAGCTCCCCTCTTGAATGTAGCACCACCATAATATCGACAAGGCGATGGAACCCAGTAGACCACGTCTGGATGCCATGCTCGGAATTGGTGCTTGTATCAGTCACAAGGTATGACGATGCGAGCCCGATCGCCCGACGTAACATGGCTTGGTCGATAGCGCTCGACTGTTGTGTCATACGCTTTACAATATGGATCACAAAACGGCCATAATCGGTTGGCTGGCTTTGTCTCGGCTGTTCTCGTGTTTAGAAACACCGAATTACGGATTATTATTTTGAACTTACCTCCATTTCGACCTGGAATTGATTGAATAATGATCTTGTTACAAGCATTGACGGATCCATTGTCAGTGTCTGAAAGAAAGAGGGAGGGGATGATGGCACTCACGATTTTCTTGCCTCTTCTACCTTGTCTGCTGCGATCTGGAGCTAATTCTTGATGTCATATCGAATGTCCTCCGGAAATTACCGAACGGAACTTCTTTCCGAAAGTTCCCAGGTATTCTCTAAGTTCACTCCGAGGACAATACTGCAGGCTGCAGCTAAGTAGCAAGCCATGGCAAGTCTTCTCGTCAAAGTTCTGAGTGTCATGACACCCCCACCTTTTGTACAACCAACAGACTATGATGGTTGGGAAGTTAAATGGAAATTTTTAGTTTTTCGTCCAGGACGTATGTGCTTGGAGTCGGCTCTTTTCTAACGTACTCGTGCTCACTGCATGACGCAGTCTTCCAAAACCAGGCGTATCTTTTAGTTGGATTGTTGGCGTATGTAGCCATAGCCATCTACGGCAAATATATCAACTCCAAAAGAGCCAATTCTTGGTACGTCTACGTCTTAAATTTTAATCTAGGTCATCTTTAACGCACTTTCAGGTATAATGCTCACCTCACACTCCTTCAAAACCAATTCTCTTCACCTACATCTGCCTCAGGGCTCATTGCAGATGGGTACACGGACTTTTTCAACTTCTCTACCGGTCGACATGCTATCGCATCCCTGCACACTGTATTCTCACTTCGCCCGCGTCAAGATCCACTACAACTTATCTATCATTTCGGCTGGCAATTGTATGACCTCAGGTACAATCCATACGATGAACTCATCCTGGACTTCAAACTCGACGCGGAAATAGCTGCTAGCATCCCAGATTACGTATGGGCAGTCATCGCAAAGGATGAATTCGCGAGTATTAAGGACAAACGTTGGGATTTGGTTAGCCTCATACCCTACACTCAATTTATATTAAACTTACACGCTACAGACGTTCACCCGTACCGCCGATCATGCCTCACTTCCAGCCTCGCTCTCCGTCATGACTGAGTGGGCAGATGTGACTGACAACTTGTTCAAGGCTACTCCCACGTTATCACTGACCAAGCTCCTTTCGGATCCCATTAATCTCAAATACTTCAAATCCATTTCCGTGACGGATCAGCCGCGTGAACGTCCTGCTGTCCCTCTTACACCTGCCGAACGCGAGAAACACGTCATCTTGTGTCTGGTTGTTCCCCCCGCAGACAAAGCTGCCGAGACCATTCCTTTAGTCTCGGCTATGTTTACATTTATTGATGGTTTAACGAAGATGAATTTGCGGCCAGAAACCCGTTCTAAGATGAAAAAGGTCCGGGAGGACATAGACAAGGAAATTCGGGAAGAGGCTGTCAAGGAAAAGAAGCAGGAAGAGGCCGAGGATAAGAAGGCCGCAAGGCGGAAAGCAGAGCTAGAACGCGTCTCACGCCTGAGTGCTGCAGAACAGAAAAAGGTTTGTCTTTGCATATCGGGTTCTACTTCCTCGCTCACCACTTCCGCATCAGATCATTGAGCGTGATCGGAAACGTGCCTTGAAACGTTCGCAAGGCAAGGTGGTGAGGAAATCATAAATATTCCATTAAGATCATATGTAGCAAGGGCTAGTGTACATAAAAATATTATTTCATATATCCTTGACCAAGTAGTAATCCATGCGGTAAATAGCACCGAAGTAAAATGTCATGAAGGTATTGACGGTGAAACGGAAGCACTGTTGGTCCGAGAATCCGTAGCAGGGGCACTGCTGTCGCGGGACTGCGCATGAGACTGAGATGGTGATGCCTGCACCCCACTTTGACCCGCCAAGAATCCCAACCTTGCGGTCCATCTGGTAAGGAACTTGAGCAACCACATTGGCTGCATCAAAGCGTCATTGTGTTCATCCTCCTCTCCCGCCTCGCTCATCTCATCATCCGTCTCATCACTAAGCACCCGCAAATCTCCCAACCCGGCACCTGCACGACGTTCCTCCTCCGCCTCGCTCTCCGTCCGTCCCCATACATCCACTTCTCGCTCCTGACCGCCAATCATCCACTGCCTCCGCCGTCGCTTTCTTGAGCTAACGGTGTCCGATCCAAAAACCTTACCCCTAAGCTCGAGCACTTTTGCTCGAGGCGCGATTGCTGCATTCCAGAGGTCTTGCCGTCTGAACTGCCCCGCCTCATAGTCTAAAGCTGCGACTTGTTGACGATTACCGTGTGCTGCGACCCTTGCGTCCTCCACGCGTTGTAGGACTTCGAGTTGGCTCGACAGATTAGATAGGAATTCACGATGATCTCTATCATCCTTCAGGAGAGCCGCGTTAGTCGCTGCCAGGTTTGAAGATACGTGCTAGACCGGTCCATGTCGTAATGAGCGGGTATCCGAGGAACTCGTGAACACAAACGCTCACCTCGAGGCAAGCAAGCATGCATTTCAAATGCTCTTCTCGCCGATGCATGACTAATATGTGGCCGCAAAGGTCTACATCGATTCGCATCCATTTGAAAGGAAGGATACGAAGGTTTCGGAAGGCATCCAGGTTGTGAAAACTATGCCGTCTGTCACAAGTATTAGCACATAATATCTTTAGTGGGTTCCATCCGCTTACCTCTGGATATCAGGCCTCAACATTTTCCTCTTACTCTCCGCCTCACTCTCTCTTTCAGTAGATTTATCGACAGGCTTTCTCTTTTCTTCTGCACTTCCCACACCCGACCAGCTAGACACGCGACTCTCGTCTCTAGGCCGTCTGGGATGTCGAGCAAGGAAGGACTTCACACGGCGATTGTACTCTGGATCATCCTTGTTAAGGTTGGAAGTGGATCTTTGTGCGATGATGGATGCATCAGAAGTATAAAGTATGAACGGGTTGTGTGTCTTTGAGATCGCTAGGATTGATGCATCAGATCACAGTCTAGCCAAATAAGTCATTTGTGTGCATACAGATGGGTGATACCTGGCCGCTGCTCGGGAGGTCTTCGTCATCCCCGCTATTCCTACCTCTTATAATTGAATGTGAATCTTTCCAGACAAGGAATGGTACTCACGGGGATAACACCACGGATGGTACGGTCAAAACGCTTGTATCGGCATACACGTGGCCCGATAAAGACGATTGTGCAGACAACGGCACTGCTATCAACGATGAGCGCCCTGTAGATCTCAATGGAGATGATAGATCTATCGATCTCTTGGACCGATTAATACTATAATGAAGATGTCAGCCCGGAGCGGAAGAATCCAAGAAGCTACCCACCCAGCCCAGAACTCCAATTTCTTCTGAACCTTTCCAGACCAAGCACCTCCGAAGGTAAGATCAATATCGTCTTCGCCCGCACTCTTTACGATCCCCGAATCATCCACATCACTTGACGTAAGTCGTTCCTTGTCCTTATCTTTTTCTCGTACCTTCTCTTGGGTTCTGTGGAGTGTTTGCGTGGGTTCCACTGCACGCGCCCGCAAATGAACCGCTACCTCCACTCTACCGGTCCAAAGGGCACGCACGCTACCGGCTACCCGTTCCTTTTCATCCACTTCGTCGGGTTTCTCGTCCTTCCTAACACGCTCTCTTGCCAATTTGTTTTTTCCCAGCCCTGGACCCAACTTTCTCATGCTGTTTATCACGCCCTATGACAGCTCTGACGAACGTGCCCAGGTCTACCACGGGTGCCAATATACCATCCGCACCAGCCACGCCACCGCGCCCCACAAAGCCCCTGACACGTCCGCTCAACCCGCGCCGCTCATCATCAGATGAGTTCGGCTCAGAAGTAGGGTCAAGAGTTGATAAAATGATGCGTTGCACACGCCGTGAGTCAGAATGCTTAAGCCTTGCCTCGTGCGCGGAGGTCAGCGCATTGTACAAGTGAAGATTCAAGTAAGTTGGGAGCGCTGGTTGGGGAACTGAGCAACTTGCACCAACGGAAGGCGATGGCAAGTACAAGGAGACTGCCGGCGACGATGTCAGTCCAGGTGAGGAGTTGCCCGACGCCGTGACCAGGAGACGTGTCTCCGTGTGCGAAAGCGTTGGCGACGAATGTGTCCCATTATTGGGATGCGAGCTGATGCCCAAGAGCTGAGCCTGTGCACATGCACTAATGCAAGCAATTAACACGTGTGGATGTAGGAATGGATCCTTCGGCACTGCTCGTGCAAGGGACGCAAGTTTATTTCGCGCCGAGAGCACAAATGAAAGCAGTGCGGCAACTGCAGACGGGTCAGCAATACGTTCGGTTGCCTGAAAATGCTTAATTTGGCCAGGGTCTCAATAATGAAGAGTAATTTCACGAACCTCGATACCTGGAAAGCTCTCTCCTACCTCCACCATCCATTTGTGCAAACCATCTATGGTGACATCACAAAGAAGGCCATCGAACATAGGTAGGGTAGTCAGTGGGAACATTCCACACACAGACAATGCAGCTTGTATCAGTTTCACCAACTCTAGAACAGTGGCTGCGAAGTGCGGGTGACGCTGCGATTGCTGTGCATTAATATTGGACGTGCTATGCTGCGGAGAGGCGCCAGTGTACAATGACTGGACATGCGAAGAAGAGCTGTTCAATGTGTCAGGAAGGATAAGGGGACTTGGAGAATGCGAGAAAGTGCGAGTCTGGGCACGCGAATTCGGAGGAGATTTAGAGAGAAATGGATGTGCCGCAGACGGCGTGTCAGGAATGAAATACAATGATTTAAACCGGTCCTTCGTCGTCTCGCTGTGAAATGATGAGCGAACATGTAGATCGAGCGCCTAAACCTTACCTAGGTTCTTCGAGTGTAACAGCACTTCGGCCACTGCATCCCATTCTCAGCAGATTGATGTTGCAGTATAAACGCTCCTGCACTGCTAGAAAGTCGCCATCGGGAATCTGCACGATTGTATAATCAGACCGAAAGTTAGCCAAAGAGGTGACCATCAGAATGCCCAGGGGCGTCTAAGGGGTATACATTAGCACTAAGTGAGTATACCGCCCAAGCGCCAAGGTACCTGTTTTGGTCGGGCTCCATCTTTGCGAAGGTGTTGTACAGAGAGCTTAAGTTCTAACTCTCCCTCCTGGTGTGTCAAATAGCTAGCAGGCTTAAGCACGGTGACAGTAATCTGGAGCCATAACAAGTGGAAAGAACATATGCTCTCAGAAGTCCAGGCTCGCATTACAGGAACGTACCTTATGGGAAGGGTCTCCCGTATACACAATGAGCACCGTAACAGGGCGTACACGCTCAACTATCCTATGCGTCAGTCAACACAGGCCGAATTCTACACAAAGACAAGTCACAAACCACTTCTCAACCGCATACATCTGGTAACCCTGGAGCTCCACACGATTCTCGGCAATTTCAAGACGAGATTTCCTCCCAATCCATCGCTCCCCAACAAAATCCCCGCTCACCCCTGTCCCCGCATTGAATGCCGCGCCTGTCATGATGGCAGTTGCCGAACCGGAGCGCGAACGGATTAATTTTGACGAGGCTTGCCTTCGTGTTGGTGGGCTTGGAGGAGATTGTGGTATGCGCGGAGGTGCGGGCGGGCGCACGGTTGGCATAAGTAGCCGTGGTGGGCCTAGGGTTGAGTTAGCCATGGCTCGCACTGAGCACTGACGTCCGAGGGCGCAGTGGAATCAGCAGTTCGGAAGAGTGTCACGCTTTGGCTAATAAGGGTGTGACTCCGGTGTAACAGAATTACTTCCGCGCTTAGCTTAGCTTCTGAGTCAAGGAGGTGTTTCGTAACCACTCCTTCAATATATACACGCTGCTTACGCGCGCGCACGATTACTTTATGTGTGGAGGTAAGCCAAGGGTTTTCACTGCAACCTTCCCAAAAGTAAGGCAGTCGGGGTCATGATTATTGACGCACCGTCAAATATATAGTACAAGTTCAAGTACTCCAACAGCTAGTCCAACCCAGTAACTGATGCAGAAGTAACCATGTGAAGAGTCAAAGAGAAAATGGGGATAAATAGAGCGCATGGGTAGGATACATTCCAGCAGGTGGTATCAAAATAAATCAGTGCGGATGATACTGTACGTGGGCAGAGTACGTGATACATGTTAAACAAACTCCTTTTTTTCTTTCATCTCCATCGAGATCAGGCTAATTCCATGCTGTAATAAGGAAATATGGTGTGAATGAACAGGGCTATATGACAATGCATCCACTCGAAAACCACCTAACCATCGAGTCACAGTCAAGAGTGGGATAGGGGTAAAACAATGTGCAGCACCCACCAGTTACTATTCAACTGTTCGATCCAGCCCACGACCATCCGCAGACGGAGTCGCGCGCTTTTAATGGGTAGCAATTTGGCCTTTTCATGCTCATCTATCGGGAGTACCATACCCATCCAGAAGGAGAACGCATCGGGGTTCTCGTCAGGCGGCTGCGGTCCGTATGTGTGGTTTAGACGCTGAACTACCCACGGCGCAGTGCCTGCGCGGAGTTGCTCGAGAAACGTGTGGCACGTTTGAAGGAGCGCGGCGGTGCTCAGAGGAGGACTGGTGGGTGATGATGGAGGTAAAGACGCGTTCGACATTATGCGCGAAAAAAGGCGCGGAGATGATGGTGCATGACCCGAGGTACTAGAAGCAGACGATGACGATGCGGATAACGAGGAATCAGCGTTCTCCTCGATCTCAGACTCCCAGTCATCAAAAAGGTCTTCATAATCGTCGATCCGTTCCACTCTTCCGATCATATACCCATCTAGAGATCCGCGTTCGAGTATCCTGAACCGATGCGTGCCCCGAGTTTCCACCATGCTCCGCCCGTCTGGCAGCATCTGCACACTGCGGATCTCAAGCATGGTACCAAAATCTGCACCCGCATCAACGCCGAGACCGGCAACAGGCGCTGCACGTGGTGGCATTATCATGCCAAGAGTTGGTGTCGGAGCCTCGAGACAACGCCTGAGCATAAGCCGGTAGCGTGGTTCGAAGAAGTGCAGCAGTGTTGGCATTCCCGGAAACGATAATTGGCAAACGAAAATGGGCGTGTCTAAACGCGCGTCGCGCTCTTCTGTCGCAATTGCTTGTCCCCTTGTGTGATAGGACTCAGGGTAAGCTTTGAGCACTGCACATTGACAAGGAATTAGATGAATGCAAGAGCTACACATAATTTACTGACGAAGAGCAAGAACAACTTTGTTATGCGAGTGTTCATGAAAGTAAGCGAAGCCAGGTAATTCCACGCGACATAGCGGACATAGCATGCTATGATCTAGGGACCTCTGTAAGCATTTAGAGCAAAAAGTCTGGCAGTCGTCGTCAGGGTCTTCATACGGAACAGAAGTTGTATATACGTACATGTTGACAAGGCGTTGTGACAGGCTGGTAAAACAGCATAAAACAGATCTCGCATGTCAGCTCCGTAGTAAGGTTCTTGTCAAATTCGGTTAGTGATATAGTCCCAGGGTCAGAAGGATGAAGATCCGGCAAACATGAATTGGACATATGACGTCGACGTCGCTTCCGTGGTCGAGAAGACGTCGATGCAGAGGAGGATGAATCGATGGAACTCGACGGGCCAGAGACGGGTGTCACGGGACGGCCAGCTGATGACGAGGACGATGGAAAAGTAACCGGTTCATGCTGTTCGTCGTCGGAATCGTCTCCAGAGTCAGAATAGGTCTCCACAAGGTGGTCAGGTTGCTCGCCCTCATCCTCCACGACCTTCATTACTAATTCCACCAACTTTCTCACTCTGACGTCAATTCTTCGTTCAGTTTGTTCAGGAGAGCTTGTATGGTCCTCGGTGGTCGCTGGGAAGAACGCGACTCGAGAACTAGGTGGAATAGTTGGCGTGAAATTCGCTGGAGTAGACGAACAAGTAGGGATTGGGCATAAATCTGAGGTCATATGTGATGAACAGACGGTATGACCGCATCGTAGAGTGGTTGGGTCTGTTAGAAGACGAGATGGGGAGCAAAGAGGACAATGCAGAAGAGGCAGAATGACACTTGGAGAAGGACTCTGGTCCATAACTTTCCAAGGATGTGTTACTGGGGCTGCAGTGGCGAGGAGCAGTGAAGAAGGGCTATCCGACAATTATATGAGCACACAAGATGAGAGGAATAAATATATACTTACGAGTGCCAGAGTTCATCAGCGAATATTATAAGGATGAATGAAAGACGACGAGGAGTCGAGGAATCGTATAGATTTGCTCAGTGGTTCCTGCTGCTCTCCGCGGCGAGACAAAAGGCAGTTTCTTACCTCGTATGAAAGAGAATAGGACGATTCAGTACGCAACAGAGCGAGATCCAAACTCGATTCAAGCATTCAATCAAGAGATTCGCGATGTTCCCCCAACTGTACTTTCCACGCCCTATTTAAACGTTATTTGCTTTAATCAGCTCATACTGCAACAGATCGCCGATTCTGGCCCTTCCAATGACGACCTTTACACACACCTCCTGTCTTGACCGGAACCGCCACAACTGCTGCATATATGTAACAATACTTTGGGTCATACAATCATGGCTACCGATTTCCAGAATCATCAGACACATGCTAGTCAATTTATGAAAGTATATCACTTTTCATACACACTCACTACCCGCACCCGAACCTCATGTTAACAAGAAGAGAAAACGATTCTAACATCACACAACCCCATTCACAAACTTGACACGTTTGTCGTGGGCCAGCTGCTGTAGTGCAATTCCAGTTAGCAACGTATACCTTCCGAATCGGGCCACGTGTATGCTTACTAGTCTTCTTTTGTACTATGCTTGTAGCCCAGCTTCTCAATGAAGCTATCAAGCTGCTTAGGTCCCCGGGAGCCATAGGGGTAGGGTGAGGGCTTAGGGCGTGGTCCTTCTTTCCCATCTATCCAATGCAGAATGGGAGTGAAAATCTGGCACATTGGCGATCAATCGTACTCCTTGATTACGGCTTGCAGCAGCATGCTTACCTTCCATGCAACATCCAGTTCGTCATCTCGGACAAAGTTCGAGTGGTCGCCCTTGATCGCATCCAGGATGAGTGCCTCATATGCCTCCGGGATTTTTGTATCCGTGAATCGCCTCTTGTATGTAAGGTCCATCTCAGTCGGAATTGCGCGGAACGCATATCCAGGCGTCTTAGTGTTCAGCTTCAGGTAAACAGCCTCCGACGGCTGAATGCGGATAACGAGTTCGTTGCGTGAAATATCCTTGAAAATTCCCTGTGTGACATCCTTGAATTGCATGCGAATTTCGACCTTTGCCTCGTTCAAGGCTGAAGTGCGTGATTTGTCAGGGGCTATTGTATGAGTGTAATCCGAGATGGAGCATACCCTTTCCCGCCTTCAAGATAAACGGAACGCCTTCCCACCGCTCATTGTTAATCCAGAGTGTGGTAGCAGCGAACGTTGGGCAGACAGAGTCTTTCGGCACAGTGTCGTCATCCAAGTAACCCGGCTTCCCATTGGCTCCGACATACTGGCCTAGAAGTACGTCCTCCCGCTTGATAGGTGGGATAGCGCGAAGCACTTTAACCTGGGAAGGACAAGGGGTACCAGCGTGAGAACACGACAAATACTTCTAGTGCGCATGAATAACCTTCTCGTCCCGAATGTCCTCCGACGAGAACGAGACAGGTCGTTCCATGGTCAAGATACTCAGGACTTGCAACAAATCTGAGTGCGAACATGCATCAGCGTGGCAGCCCCTTCCCACACAAGCTCACAAGAGACTCACGGTTTTGCAAGATGTCACGGATAATGCCAAATTCGTCGAAATAACCACCACGACCCTCTGTGCCAAAGGGCTCCTTGAAACTGATCTGGACGTTGCTGATCGAATGCTTGTCCCACGCAGCGCCCATAGCGACATTGGCGAAACGGAGGACCAACAAATTCTTGACCATCTCCTTGCCGAGATAGTGGTCAATACGGTAGGTCTCTTCCTCTTTCCATGACTCCTTGAGTGACGACAGGAGGTCCCGGCAGGATTGAAGATCCTTGCCAAAAGGTTTCTCGACGATAATGCGATTGGCCCCGTCCGTCGAGTAGCAGCACTCTTTGACATATTTTGAAACAGGAACGAACACGGACGGCGGGAGAGCAAGGTAAAAGAGGCGGTTGACACCGCGACTTTTGTAGCTCTTCTCAATAGCCTCCATGTGTCTTGCCAAATTTTGGAAAGAGGCACTGTCATCGTAGTTGCCAGAAACATAAGAAGAGAATTTCTTGAATTCTTCAATTTTGGCAGCGACATCAGGATCGTTGTTAGGGTTCTTGATATAACTAGTGGTGCGTTTGAGATATTCTTCTTGATCCATCTTTGTGCGTGCATAGCCGACAATATGGACATCTTTAGGGAGATAACCCATCTGGTAGAGACCAAACAAAGCTGGGTACGTCTATCGGGGTGCTCAGGATCGTTCATAGCGATGATAAAAGAGTTTATCGCCCACCTTTTTCTTTGCAAGATCACCGGAGGCACCAAAGACTAGATGTGGAGAGATTTGAGTTGGGCGCGAGCGGTGGCGGGGACAGGGGGGACTCACCGACGATGAGAGTGTTATCTTTGAATTCGTGACCACTGGTCTCCATTGATGGGATCGTACCAGACCTTGTGCGTGTCATTGAGGCCATGATATTGACCAAGGAAAATATGCGTTGAAGAAAGACAGATGCAGGGGCTTCAAGTTTGCGTTCTTGTTCTTAAACTTATTGACGTGAGTGTGAGAAGGCTAGTAGTGATGGAATGAATAGATATATATTTACATTACCGTGAGCTCGAGGCGCAATGCGTTCGTCAGCGTGAGGATGATGGCAATCTCTGTAATCGTCCTAGTAGCTGATTCAACGCACAGCTTACCGTTACTTCACTCTCATGATATCACGGACTCTTTTCGGACCGCTCCTGACGAATCAACCACGTGCTTCTCTACTTTAGTCTTTCGCCATGACAGAAGACCAAGCCATAAAGCAATTTCAAGAGCTAGTCTCCTCTGACCTGACCATCGTAGACCCAACGTCTATCCAAATTCGTGCCAATGCTCTAGTAGCTCGTCTAAAAGCCCTCAATAGAAACGCAAATGCTGCAACAAGAGCGTGCAAGCAAGCAACCACAGAGGCCCGCCATGACATGGACCAGACACATCTTGGCCTCCAGAATTTGCTCTATGAAAAGCGTCATCTCGAGAGGGAGATCGACAAGTGTCGGCAATTCGCGTTTGTTGTTCTTTTTTAGTCCCTGCAATCTCTGCTGACCGTTCGTGCAGTTCCATCTACCAGGACGTACCCTTATATTCACTGCCAGAATTCACAACTCTGGCGCCCCCGGAAGCACGCTCAGATGACGTGCTGCGGAATGTTCATCAGCTTATGCTCAATCGCCTAAGCTTCGAACTTGTCGAAAGACAGAGGCACGTCGTTCAGTACCATTATAGATCTTCGCATCTCATCATCAACGACAGACTCGATCAAAAAAGAAAAGAACTCACAGCCCAAAAGGAAGAGCTCCTGAAGCATAGCAAGCTTAAACTCGCAACCGTGGAAAGTGTCAAAACGCAAATAGAATCACTCATGAAGGTGCGAACAATCCTTTGTCCTTTCACTCCTGAACTCACGTTGCTTCAATGAACGTTTTGCAGGCCGCCGCAGACATACAGAAGAGAGTCGATGAACTCGTGCCGGCACTCCCACCGTCTGCTGCAACGACTCCCGCTCCGACCTGAACTTTTTGCGCGCCGAATGCACTCCCGAGTTACCGAATGCCTCTTATCAGTCCCGCGGTTGTCTAAGCAAAATACATTTTGACACACAGTGGAGTTGGCACTGCATAATCCATAATTATACAACACTGCGAAAGGGATGAGATCCTTCCAACCATTATCCAGAGGTGAGAGGAATAGAGGTCATCAAATGTCGAAAAGACGAGCGAAGAGGGTATCTCCGCAAAAAGACGAGTTGAATGATGATAGCATATAACACAGAGTTGAGAAAGGTTAGGTGAAGTACAGAATGGATATGATATGTGAAATGATATGAATGATGTGCAAAAACCAGTGATAAACAATGCGGGAGGAAGGCAAGCCAGCGGAAGAGGTATCAGGATTCTTACTCTTCATCCTCACTGATGCTGCCGATGTCGCTCATCTCCTCGTCTGCTTCGTCTTCATTGCCGTCTTCTGCGGCGTCCATAATATCCTTCGTTGCGAAACGTTGTACGTACTCTGAGCAGGAACGGACGTTACATTCTGGGTAACGAAAGGAGGAAATAATCCTACCCTTGACCTTGGCCTCGTATTCCTTCGGGTGTCGCATCATCAGCGCGGCAGCTTCCCCGTTTAGTGGATCATTAGGATTAGGATACCGCAGCAGTTGCGGCAAGAACACCTCAAAAATGTTGATCATATCTATGAAAGGGGACAGATTAGCGACATAACCGGATGTGCATCAACCGCCCCGCATACCGAACATTGGCGACCACGTCTGATTAATAACGTCCAGGCATACGGAACCACTCCTGTAATGGATACGTATAAATCGTTATTTCGGGAAGCATCGCGATGGCTACTGACAGCTCATCTATGTTGGGATGAAAGATCTTGTTCATAAAGCCTATGCTTGGCGACTTGTATGGATACTCCGCTTGCAACTCTACGTGAATCTTCCATATACCACCCGCGAAGGGTGCTGGTGCTGATTAATCCGACTTGCACGGAAGAGTGATTAGGGAACGTACTTTCTCCAGGACCATAGAAGCGGACGTAGAACTCGCGCATGTTGTCATTCACGAGGGTCACCTCGTAATCCGACATGAGCCTGCATTGTAAATCGTTACATCAGTGAGGGTGCGGGTCGCCTTGAGGCAGGTAGTCTTTACAGTTTCATGACATCTGTCTCGATACGGCGCTTTGTTGAGGTGTGTCTAGAATGAGATCAAATAAGTTGGAACCGCAGCTTTGTGAAGAACAGACTTATCATGTTTGCTAGAATACAAGATGGATGGGTTTGTGGAAGACCTGGACAATCGCTCAATGTAATGTAAGGCTAATCTAGTGGTAACGTCCAAACCCTGCCGATGCCGCAATGTCGGAGCTAGTCATTTTAAGTACCGAGAAAGGCCGAGTCATCAAGCTCATTATATTCTGATTTATACTCTCCTGGAGTAGACTCAAAAGTAGACTTCTACAACAACGCCATAGAAAACAAGATATACACTCGAAGACTAGCGTTACAACCTCAATACGCCCACGACGCCCCGTTCCATCAGCAATTCATACAAACCAAGAAATACTAGGATCGTATATCTTGGTGTACCCTTAGTAAAAGGTCCACTCCTCGACAACACAATAAGCATCATTCGGGTCGCATGGGTATGGTTTACGGAATCCGGCTTGGGGTTTGTATTGTTGTCGCATATAGCTTGCTGCGCCTTGAATCCGTTCAGACGCCACTGCAGGCGGCCTAGCATCAACACCTCTGCTGCCAGCACCGACAACATTGCTTTGGGCAGCACCGGTGCTCGGCTGGAACATGTGACTTGGGTGTGCCAGGTCGATGTTGACACTACCCTGGTTCCACGCGCGCATAGCCAAGAGGAAGGCTAAGACGAAAGACCTCCGAATTAGTATGTCATTTATGTTAAATGGGACAGGCTCACCGAGCCAGAATGCCCCAAACGCCGCAATCACGATTAACTCCTCCTGTCCTTGCGAAAAGGCCCTGTTTTCCCCTCCGGTTCGGTGGTTTTTCACTACCCTGTCTTCAGGTCAGCTGCTGCTGGAGATAAATCTGCTATTGTCATACAATATGATAAGTGCTCCGATCGCCAACATTGCTACTGATGTTTGAGTCAGGTGAATAACCTCTGTAAACGATCATTCGTTAAAATACTGCTTTAAGCGCCCAAAATATAACGATACTTGCGAATCGAGTGGGGCATAAATTTCATGATCATATGGCCCATCGCCAGAGCAAAAATTCCTGCGGATTGGCGCTGAGTATACCATCCACATATCATGAATACCTATGCACGCACCTTTGAGAACATGCCTGAACGGGTGGTCTGTAAACAAAGCCATTTCGTGACGATAGAAGTCAGAAAGAAGTGGAAAAGGGGCGGGTGGGAATCGATGACCAGATGCTCCTTGTATTTTCGACCACCACTAGGCCATGAGGCCGAATTACCCTTCTGATTCGGACACGGGGCCAGTATTTCATCATTCATATTCTCATCAATTGTTCTACGTAATAGCTCCGGGACCAGCCGATATTGGCAAATCGTTAAGTACAGATGCGTTCCAAGTCTTCTAAGTACAATCTGAAAATCTTGTGCCCTATCGTTCCAACACGTCGAATCCGCGCATACATAGTAGTATGTACGATTTCCAATGTTAACGGAAGCAGGCACCTAGGCCGGCATGTGAGTGACAATAGGTTGGCCACCATTAACACCTGGCTGAACCATGACGGAGTGACCAGGCAATTGTTGTACATGGTATCCTCCCATCATTGGATATGGCTGACCGTACCCATACATCGGGGCTCGCGGGTATATGGCTTCAGTGGGGTATCCTGGAAGTTCTCCAAACCAGCCTAGCTGCGAGACATGTTCTCGCCATGCATAGTACCGGCCATAAACGACTGCACGCGATGTGAGCGTGATCAGGATAATGAAGAAGAATATAACTGCAATGGAAGACTTCAGTAGATGCACTATAAACAAAGGAAGTAGAGCACACATAACACGAATAGAGTCCACGATAGCGCTTCGATGACCTTCATTTCATAGCAATATGACTGCGCAGAGACTAGTGTTATATGAGCGTTGAGCTTTGATACGTGCAAAAATGACGCATTGATCACTTACTACTTCCTCTGACTGTAGGATGCTGTCCTTGAATTGGGTAGCATTGCACATATCCGATGATATCCCTTGAGCGTGCAGTTCATAACCGTTCATGCATCCAGAAATTATGCACTTACGCGGACCATGCACCCATGGCTGTCGATTCGAACCGACAAGTTAGTTAGATGTAGGAAGAAGGGTAAAGGGTAGCACTGCCAGCTCACCTAGCCATAGTACACTGATAAAGAAGTGAAGTGTCACCTCCACTATTGGTTGCGAGAACTGCATACTGTAAAGGCATGAGCCAAGCAAGGCAGATCGGTAGTGCGCCCGACTCACATCCACAGAAAGGCGAAGATGGTGGTTGATGGTGGAATTAGAGCGAAGATGGTGAAATCATCTAAGAAGACGGTTCAGGCGTCCATACAGCTGATAGAGATGCGGCAGTACATACGATTAATATTCGGGAGGAATAGTCTTGCAAAGTTGGCCGTGAATCCAAGGACAACCGCGGAGAGCACAAACGCAGATACTGGATAACATCGATTGATCAGTCGATTAGGGTTGAACGGGCGACATACGATATCCGATGCGCCTCATATTCACAAACATAACAGTCATGACTGCAAAACCGTGACGTTGTCAGATTTCAGGTATAAGGTCGTATGTTGCGTGAATCCTTGACGATAAAGTATGTCGTGTTGAAACAATGCGGAAAGAAGGACGGAGTCAGAACGTAACTGAACAATGCATATAAGTGTTGGAGCACTGAAAGACGCCTTCTCAATTACAGATTGAATGCTATATTTGGCCATCTATAGCCCATAACTTCAGGCACCTCATGACATCGTTCAAGCGCTCAAGCACGACAACGACACGCAGACAAAAACGTAGAGTGTAAAAGGGTAGTCGCCAAGGGTGATCACTGTTGAGGACGAAAGTGCACTCCGCACAAACCCGTCCTTCCGACCCACAAGAATCCACGTCCTGGCGTCGACCCGGGTCCCGCACCCAACCTGTGGATACCAAGATTGAGAATCATTCAAGATCACAATAACAAAGTTCGTGATATTAGCAGCCCCATGCTATCTAGCAAGTATGTATGTGGTACAAACTGTATTTATTAGATTTCCCAAGAAAACGCAGATCATGATGTTCTAAAGCCCAAATGTGAAACATATACAGCGGTCACCGCCTGGGTGACGCATTCCTCTTATACTTGTCCGTTGTGTGCGCGGGTGCTGGTGCATTATGCCCTTGAGCCGACCATCCGGGGTAACGTGAGTCCCCGCGTCTTGTCTCATACCCCCAGGGTGCTGAGGCTTTCTTCTCATCGTAGGTCCCGCCTCTTGATCGTGACCGACTACTAACGGGTGTTGGTAACTTGGACATATTCTTTCCGAACCACGAGTATTCGGTGACAGCAATATACCACACATTGCGGTTGACGCGGAGACAATGTTTTACTGCGAGCGCCAGCAAGAAGAACAAGAACGCCAATACTGCGGGAGCTTGAGATATGCTCCAAGATATGGATTCGATCCACTTACTGAGAATAACATTGAAAAGTGAGAATGCCTCTAGAACTCGATATTGAGCCTGGTATGTCTCTGTGGAGACTTGGGGCGAATGTTAGACTTCTCTATGAACGGACATGCTCTTGTAACTTACACCCAGGAACATCGACGGGATCAGTCAGTGTATCGGACGAATAACATTCTACATTGGCATTCTCCGAGTCAGAACTTGCTAGGAAGGCACCCAAAGCTGGACCGGTCAATTAACGTGCAACCATTATTAAGCCGTGATTCGCGTACCAAGCCAAAAAGTCCCAAGCAGTCCGAGGCATCCGAGCTCGATTCTCGTGGAGATCGGATTGTTAGTTCGAATCATGCTACATCCCAGTCTGCAGCCCTAGTCAATGCCGACGCGTCGTGCGAATTTTATATCAACTCACAAAACGATGAGAATGAGCATGCTGGCACTACATACGAAAATGGTGAAAGGAACGAAACGAGCTACATTCGCGTAAGTTGCAGTTGACTACGGAAATATGGAGCAAACTTACTGAGATCTGTGATGACCAGTAGACTCTGGAAGTGAGCTGCAATAGCCAGGCAGATAACTGTCCATATTAAGACTACGCCTGCCGCACAGTTAGCAAGGCCGTAACAGAAATCATGAATATGAATGCTAACCGTAAATACAAGCCCGAAAGATGTTGAATTTCGATGGCATCGCTTTTCCCGTAAATATTCTAGAGATAGAGAGTGTAGGAAGTCGCTTGCGACGGGACGTCTGGCGTTCCCGAATACTAGAGTGATGCTGATGATCCTGGTGAGGTTGGCGGGTGGATTGATGTTGGCAATTCAGGGGAAGTGGACGTGCGGGCCTCATGATATAGTACGGAAAGTATGCGTACACGAGGTGGAGGGGCGTTTGATTCTCGTAAATCTAACTTGTGACGGCGTGGCGTGTACCGTGCAGTTTAAGGCGTGGCGAACCTCGATGATCAGGAATCCGGGGGAAACACGAGTCGTGCGTCCGCTCAAACGCACTAGGCAAACCAGCTATATTCTTTTAACGGCTGAAAATTTTCGACTTCTAAGCATCGTGATAGACAGGTACGGAGGTACATCCGCGTAAACGCCTCGAGGCAGATCTCATTGACAAAACAGGAAGTTCAAGGGGAATAGATAGTAGATACGCTTGACCTAAATTTTCGCAGGAGCAAGAACATGATAATATAAATGCCGGGGAAAGTCACAAGTGATTTTTTCCGCTAGCTACGTACAAAGCATCGTGTGAACTTGGGTCACGCGATCAACGTTTCACAGCCATCGATATCTCTTTTCGGAGCATCTCTCCGATGCTTGCAAACTGAGCGAGACATTCAGGATTTCGCAGTGTAGCAGAATTCACACTCGAGATGTGGGCTCCATTGATGATCTGGTCAGTTTTCAGTACCACAAATCCTTCATCAAATTATAAGAGCATACCTTTTTAACTGGGATCTCTACGCGCTTCCCGTTCAAGGTGTATGGGATATCGTCGACTTGGATTATCTATCAAGCCCCCGCGGATAGTTAGCCAACGTTCCGGGGGACTGATAAAAATGGAACACACTCGAGCAGGAACATGGCGTGGGCTCCGTCGTGATCTTATTTCGGATCTAATCTTCTGCTCCATTTCTATCGATAGTGCCTGCTTGCCACAAAGTTTAACGAACAGGATCACGCGCTCATCTGCGCCGCCTTCAACGGATTGTGCCACAACCAGTGCATCCTCGATATTTGCGTCGTTCGCGCTCCGTTCTTCAGAAAACGAGAAGCACGTCTCAAGAACGTTATATATTTCAGACGATCCGAATCGGATCCCTCCAGGATTTCTACAAAATGATCAGAACTAGAGAGGAGTGTGAAAGTAGCATACCCACAGAACGCCATCGCTTCTTCCTAGCATAATGAGTCCACCTCCATTTCCATGCTGAGAAGGTGTGATCAGCACGTGGTCCCCGTGATCTGTTCCAAATCAAGTTAGTAAAGGGGGCGCAATCTCAGGATCCGGGGTGTGTACACCACATGTTCTTGTATTCAGCAAAATAGGATAGACGAAACCTCTCTGCTGCAGCTTGGACATTCTCATCCGTCCCGAAACCAGGCAGGGGCCAAAATCCAATGGGCATACATGGAAATGGTCTAACGCATACCAACTCGCCAGCCTCGCCAGCTTGACAGTTATGCCCGTCTTGAGTGAAGGTTTCGATTGCCATTCCCAGCATACGACATTGGATTTCCCCACGATGTACCGGGAGTGCAGAACACATCCCGCCAAAGAGTGAGCAGATGTCCGTGCCTCCTGGAAGAGCAGTCCAGGGCGCATAACAAAAACAGCTCAGTAGATCATACCTGTTATGGATGCGAGAAGCACGTTGGGGTGGATACATTCATAAACGTAGTCGAAGAGCGCATGGGCTAATGGTGAACCAGTCGAGTAAATATGCCTCAAGCAAGTCAGGTTGTGATGATCACGAGGCTTGTAGCCTATCCGCTATTGTCGTTCAAGTATTGGTACTCAATGACTATCATAGTTAGGGTAACCACTTACCGATAATTGATCCAAATATTTCGCACTCGTTCCGAAAATTGATATTTGTAGTTCATCCACGAGATGCCACAGATAAGAGGGCTCCCTCAGAGGACTTCCATCGTAGAGCACTAGCGTACATCCGACGCTGAGACCACTCACTAAGAAATTCCACATCATCCATCCTCTGCAGTACAACTATTTAATACAGTCGATCTAGGAATGAAACGAACGACTTACGTTGTGGTGTAATAAAAAAAGACGTCTTCAGGGCGCAGGTCTGCACAAATTACGAATTCTTTCTTTGCTTGTAACAACATGCCGCCAGCCCGGTGCACAATTGGTCTACGAGGTTAAACTCAGTATGATCTAACAGTTTGCTGATGATAGCAACATACTTTGGGCAACCTGCAGGGATCAACCGAGTTCGGCTTTAGAGTACACGTGTGTAAGGCTACACACCTGTTGTGCCCGAACTAAAAAGTATCCACAATGGCCAATCAAAACTTTGACGACACCACTCAATTTGTCCTTCGGAAGTACGGCCTAAAGAGCTGGACTTGCCCTTCGAAATGAACGTGTCCCACGAGACCCAGTCGGTGTTCCATCCGGACACATTCCTTGCTGACTGAATGACGATCACGACTGGGTTCAGCGAACATCGCTCGGAGAGTCCAGAAAGAAGAGATTGCAGCTTTGGTAAATGAGGATGAACTTTTCCGTTGTACCTGCATGACTTAAACAACAAAAAACCCGACTTTGCCAGGAGAGCGACCTACACGACGGCATCGACCGCAAAAATCACTCGAGGTTGTATTTGCTCAAATCTACAAATTAGCAAGTGAGTGTGCGACAGCATTTCAATAAATTCCCGCACCGCTCTAATACTCCCTGGGTCCCGAAGTCTGCTGCTGCACTGACCCAGATGCACCCTACGGAGGTTAGCAAAAAGCAACAGGGGTAGAAACGATCTACCTATGGCAGTGGCAGCGAGACAAGCGATGACATTCTCCTGATAGAGGGCATAAAGTTAAGAGTGGGCAGTGTCCTCTTAGCCGGCAGTGACGTACAATACAATTCGATGAGTACGAAGCCACTCGATCCCCGGGCTTCAGACCGAGCATCAGCAAGGCTGAAACCAGGTCAGCAACCAACACGTAAAGTTCAGCATATGTGACGCGCTGATGAGGGGGATTCGGGCACTCGGAGGTGGGCTCAGCTAATCATTAATCAGTCATGATTATCGCGTAAATCAACGAATGATGTATCAACATACTTGCTTGTATGAGCGCGAATTTATCTGCCGAACGACATGTCAGCATATTCTCAGCCCAATTAATCCTCGCTTCGCTGAACCATGGTGGGTTTACCGCTGGGAGAGTATTATTATCGACGACATCTTGCCCTTTGTAACCGACAATAGCGACGTCATCCCACACGGTCTCCCAGAATAAATCGATGCGATCAGTAGACCATTGGTAGAGGTCAAAGTATGAATCTAGCGCAAGTCCGTATTTCTCGTTGACTTTCTTGAGGAATGCAACGCAATGCGAGGATATTGCATCGGGAGGGACAAAAAGTGGAGGCGCAACCGGTGATTCGGTATTCATGCTAGACACTTCCAAAGAATAGCTTCAGTAAGACTTCGAAGCGGTTACGACGGTAAAGGAGTGAATGAAATCCGGGAGGGTCCGCATCATGGTCGGCTACGGCTCGGCCCCAAGGTTTGAATTTTGATATCGCGTAGTCTTCGGAACCGAAGCGTATACCTATCTCTGTCGCGGAGTCTTATTTCGTATAGAATTTTATTATCTCAAAAGTAAACTCTTCGAAGGAGAAAAATCGCAGGAAACCAGAACGCAGATCGAACAGCTGCTAGGAGAACATTGGAACTAATATTTTTGATGCGGAAGAAGGCCTACGTACTGCAGTGCACAAGCGATTCATGCAGTGTACGATAATGATAAACAAATCATGCGATATCAAGGTTACATAATAATTAATTGTTTCAGACGGGTAAAAAATTATGGTGTCATCCCGAGGCAGTTTAACCCCTATAAGTAAAGTTTAACGTTCAGAGTCGCGGTGCACCTCACTACCATCAGATAGGTCGGTGCTACGTAGACTCGAGGGTCCTCTAGGAATCGTCTTTGCATCTATCCCGTCCGAATCCTTGCTCGTTGTTCACCAGCCTGATCCCCGTTCAGAGATTACCACCATGGATAACTTTCTTGCCCCAAATAGCACAGAAGCAATGGCACACTCCAAGCTCAGGTACGTGGCGTTGCATCGTCACAAATTCCACCTTTTGATTTTCCCAGCGAGGACTGGTTAGACTGGGATATCAGTCGCCCTTCATTTGACGAATCCCTTGTCGCTCACTGTGCTTCGTATCATGCGTTTGACCGTTATTTATCTGAAGAGGATCTTTTCATCCCCCCTCGTTTTCCGAGCGAACTAGAGCGAGTCCTGTATGCATTTCCACATGTGATATCAGCCACAGCAGCGCTAACACCGACACAGCCGTCGACACGCATATGACTCGATCCATAATGCAATCTCAAGATCTCGTCAAACACTAAAATCTGGAGGATATAGCAGGGTATGTGTGTTTCCTCTCGCATCGTCGTCCGCCCGCTGAATTTGTCATGAAGATTTGTCATCTGGCAGAGCAGTCCATCCGCAGTATTCTAAACATAGAAGACAACGCAAGGAGATTGCTCGCCTGGCACAGGCCCAACACCCCCTCGCCCGTGACCGTGGATATGACCCGTACTGCTTCGGTAATAAAAGTTTAACTCACCTCACCCACGTAGATCCCGTTGGGTATGGGTATTCATTAATTCATTGCCGCCATCATTTGGTGTAAATACACGCCATATAGTATTATCGCACTACGCAACATTCTTTGGAACACAAATTTAGCATTACTGTAGACATTAGGCTTTCGCCATTGTATTTTGATAGATAGATAGATTATTGTTATAGACATATCGCTTTTTGATGTTAACACTGCAAGTTCCTGCCAGTGGACACTAGTCTTACTCTGATGATTGTCACGGTGGGTCACAGTTGGTTTGGTGGCACAGTCATCAGTGCTTTTGAACTCAGTCACACTGCCACTAATTGGTCTCACTAAGCCTCGCAGGAGCGCAGGCTGTGGGGATTAGCTAGCAATCTTCACCAGACCAACTTCAAGGCCAATTCAAGGCTCAAGCGTTTGATGGCACCCACGTGGCATAGTACAGATCGTTGTGTTATTGTTGAGCCATGCTGAACCCTCGAGTACTAGTGTGAATGTCACACCATGCATCAAATAATTGATCCGTTAATTCACATCTAATTCATGTCTAACTCAAGTCAACGTGCAATCAACGTGTCAATCGTTCAACATTAATCCGAGAACTACCACATGCCTCGCATTTCTTAAAGCCTCACGATTGAGTGATTCCTGGTTTCCTAAAACATGAAGAAATGTATTCCATGGCTAGCAGGCCTTTTGTGTGGGCAGGTCCTGGCTGCGCCACCTCAAGTTGTCTTGAATGCAGCTCCGAATAGACCCGATCGAAAACTTCATGGACGTTTCCTGCACATCACCGATATTCATCCCGACCCATACTATGTAGAGGGGACTTCTCAGTCGTCTCAATGCCATCGAAAGGAGTCAGGCAAGGATCAGCAGGCAGGATATTATGGGACACCCTTCGGGTTAGTCAAAGTTCTTCCTTTCGTGACATATCCTAACTCGAACATATTTCTGCAGCATCTGCGACTCGCCTTGGACATTAACGAATTTCACGTTCGAGCATCTAGAGGAGCATTGGAGCTCTGAGATAGACTTTGTTATATGTGCGCGCGTTCATCGTTTGAAGCTTCCTTTTAACTTGAGGTATCGTAGGGACCGGTGATAATGCTAGGTAGAGTCCCTGCAGTCATCCGGAGCACCATTTGACGATAGATCATCCAGACATGACGAAGATCACGAGATCCCTCGACCACTTGACGAGATATTCGCTGTCAATCGCGCCGTTGCGAAAAAAATGGAAGATGTATTCCTCAGGAAGGGAATACCAGTAGTGCCAAGTTTGGGTGAGTTCTTTGCGTCGTAGCTCCGAGAATTCATATTCATCGATGCTGCCGTCCTTCCCGTCCTTCACCTTTCTGTGAATAGGAAATAATGATGTTTGGCGTAAGTGCTTGTATCCGAGTCTTTTGTGGTAAATATCTCAGAGTCGTCGTTGGCCTTGGCAGCACACGCGAGTGGTTTCTATCTCAACGATGCCTTTGTCTTTCTAACATCCACTACTACAGAATACTTTATCTCCAGGTGAGCGCCACTGGTGTTGACGGTTTCGACTCTCGACTGACATCGGTTAAGGTCCGAATAAAATAACGGATGAGTTTGCGTCGTTCGTACTCTTCGAAGTCCCGTTTTCGTTCGCTGAGATCTATCGGACAGCATATGGGATGTATTTATTCCATCAGCCTCCAAGACCTCTTTCCGAAAAGGCGCATATTATGCAATAGAAGTGATACCCGATGCACTTGCGGCGATTAGTCTGAGCACAATGTATTTCTATCGTGATAACAAAGGTCAGGTCCTTGATCCCGCCTAATATGCTCTTTGACATGTAGAATTGACAGCTGTGAGAGGGTGTCCAGTCGGTGATGCCAGTGACCCCGGTAATTTACAATTTGACTGGCTGGAAGGGCAGCTTGAAATGTTTCGGGCTCGGCAGATGCAGGTATGAGGCATCATATCTTCTAGATAATAAAATAACACGGCGTTGATTTGACAGGTGTGGGTTACTGGTATGTCTTGATTGTAAACATTATGCCCGTCTTGATGCCGAATTTTCAGGACATATTCCCCCGTCTGACTACCATTACCATCCCGAGTGTGTAAGTATTCCAGTGGGCTGCACATGAATAAGTGGCTGACCCATGATTTAGTACTACCGATACGCGGAGCTGAGCCTGAGATATCAAGATGTTATTTTGGGCAGTTTATTTGGTGTGAGTAATGTTTAGAAGTAAGTTGCCGAGCAAGAGGTTGACAGTGCTTGTCTAGCACTTGAACGTCGATCATGTGAGTGGCTCCCTTTGTGCCATTAACTTTAATCGAGACTCGGTTATAGTTCTACTTTGTCGAGGCCGCTGATCTCAATGTCAGCCTTGAAGAAGACAGGATGCCGTCCCATAGTTTCGAGGGCACAATCTTTGAAGCATTGATGGCCGACTTTGAAGCGCTTGTGAAGAAATCAAAGCATTTGAATTATGACGACTATGCAGTAGTCAACGTCAGCCCGTCGTTGGTGCCCAATCCTTATTTGCCCAGCTTCAGAGTGTTCAGCTATAACATCTCGGGACTGGAATCGACGACTGTGGGTGCCGTCGGTGAGGACGGATATCTCCTGATGACAAAGAAGGATCGAGCCTCCCGATGGAAGCATTTACCGTATCGTCATGGTAACGATGGGAATGATAAATACCAATGCATGGATGCGGGATATCGGGACTCGTGGAGGTGCAAGCTTCGTCCCTGGCGTTCTGACAGCCACGCTCCGTCACGGCAAAATACGTTGTGGACACCTCTGGGATATGCGCAGGTACGACAAAATATTTTTCTTTTCATTTGAAGTTAATATGGAATTCAGTATTATATACCTCAACTTGAGGGATATGGCGAGAAAGATGAACCAAAGTTCAAGCTGGAATACTTGACGTTCCCGATTTCAAAGCTGTACATGGCGGATGGACCCGTTCCGCTGAGAAACTTGCCCAAGTCGCTCCGCGAAGCAGGGATAACGAAATCGGAGCTTGCGCCGTATGGACTAGGTGATCTTACGATTCCGTCTTGGCTAGATCTAGCCTGCAAGCTGGGGAAGCCGCGGGAGAAAAAGCTCCGAAAGCAGTTCAGGAAGTATATGTATATGGGAGGTGAAAATATTTAAAAGGATTGAGGCCGGAGTGCCCGTATGATTGATGCATCAGTTTTGATATAATGAAAGTATTATTATTATTATTTTCTGGTGGCGGTGTGGGAAATGCGCGGCGCGGCGGCGGTGTAGAGGAGATGGATTATTATTTGTGTTTACTTGATCAAAACAATTCAGTTTGTTGATTCTTAACCCGTTCTAAAACGGCGTTGTTGCCTTGACCACCGACCACATTTCTGTAGTAGTTCCTAGAAGATCTCGTCAGCGTTCCTGCAAACCTATTACTGCTGCGTCTTTCGAGGAGGCAAAACTTATCTTTTTTGCTTGCTTTGCTCTCTATCATTCATATTGGCCTAGCTCAAGACTAGAGTCCTTTTGAGTCTGCTCTTTCGTTTTAGATTCAAGCAGATTCTCATCTCTCAGAAGTCTCAAAATCTTTTCTTTTTTGCCTTACCCATCTGCCAGTCAGCGGCGGCTTCTGTCTCACAAAACCCAATCTCTTGTCGTTCATTCACAATCGTCGGCTGGACCGCCAATATCTGCCTTGATCACTACATCGGCATTCACCTTCATTTATTCCCTTTCATCACCAACTCTCATATATCTCTATGGCTGCTGTAAACTTGCAGACTATGTCTTCAAGTATCCCTTTCGACTTTCTACCACTCAATCACCCACATTCAAGATCAAATTCTGTCTCTTCGTCCTCTACTCATTCGCCTAATTCTCGTCCTCATTCTTCTCAAGGCGGTATGTCAAGAATGTCATCAGGTTTACCTACCTCATTGGACGATCACTACCGGCTCTCTTATATGAGTGCCGATCAGTCCCGCCACACCTCTTTCTCACTTCCTCCCTCCGACATGACTCCCCCTGGTCAATCTCCTCCAAACACTAATATTACTAATCCTGCGCTTAAAGGCCATATCCGTCAAACTCATCTCAGGGCCCGTGCTGCTGCTTCTCCGTACCCTCGTGATACCGAAAGTGTTCATTCTTCATCGAGTGAAACAGACGACATTTCCATGTTCCTTGGAAATCCCTCAGACTATCCTAGCATGTATGGGCATGGTTCTACCTTGCCCTCTAATCAAGAAACCATCCACACGGCCGGCGCTTTTGGCAGGATGTCTTTGGGTCCAGATCATCAATTGGAAAAGCTCGCTGCCAATGTCCGCGTCGCAACAACAACCAGTGCATCTGATCGAGCTAAACAAATTTTTGTTCAAGCTTGGTGAGCTCATGCTGTCCTTTTTTATCAAATACCAATCTTCTCATCATTTTACTGCGCACAAAGGTTGACAGCAAATTACGCGCCTTATCCTGATGGGAATGTACCCCGCCAGGGTCTATACTTTTCGTACAGACGGGTGTGCGATCAGTACGGAATTCCTCACATTAATACGGCTACACTGGGAAAGGCTATTCGTTTGTGTTTTCCTACTATCAAGACCCGGCGCCTAGGTGTTCGCGGAAATAGCAAATATCATTGTGCGTACAGTGCCACATCTGATGGCGATCGGAAGAATTCTGATTGACGCCACGTTTGGCAGATTGCGGCATTCGTCCCGCTACTTCGGCTGAAGCCGAATGGCTTCAGGATTACATCCGAAAATCAAACAATAGTGCTGGCCAGCAGTCCATCAATGCCGCTCGTGCAGCGCAAGAATCTTCCGACAATCCAAATAAGGGCGAAGATCGGTCCGACGAAGATGACGACGAAGATTCCGAGGGGTCCAGTGCATCGAAGAGGAACTCATTGACCCTTTCTGGAGACCTCAAGGCCGCTGGTCTCACTTATGGAGACATCAGTGACAAAACACCTACTGCTAATAGCCTGCTCTCTCAGGCACAAGCTGTTGCCAGAAGCAACACGTATCCCAGCCATGCTTCTATCCGTCGACATGTCAGCCAGTCAGATGCAAACCTCACCGCACAATCTACCATGTCGCTTGGACCTGGCACTGGTGCATCTTTCGTACCGTCGCAGCAGCATATCTCAGTCCGTCATATGCCGCATTTCCCATCCATCGAAGAGGCGATAGGATCTAACTCTGCATCTCCGCAGAGCATCGCCGCTCGTGAAGTGTGGGGATGGTTCCAAGACCATCTCGATGCTGTCCTCGAGAGCGCTCGTGCCTTCAGGTTTGACCAATTCGAGATGCACCTTCGAAGTTTCTGGTCTAGCTTGAGTGGGAATCATCGAGAAGTAGTGCATGCTCCGGCTATCGCTGGTCTAATGGCCAAAGCCGACGCAATTCTATATGATGTACGTCCAGCATGTTACCCTCGTCGGGAAAGTCTCATTGACTTTTCGCTCAGGAAATACTTGAATTTTTAAGGTCTCAGATGCTTTCCCCAATCGCTCCCACTGCTATGACTAGTCTTAGGACGTTGGCAAGTAAAATGGAGAAGATCCTGCTCGTTGCGCTGGACGGATATGGCAATACTTTTGTTGAGCCCAAGGTCGAGCTTGGAGCGCGGTTCGGCCATCTTGTTTGTATGTGATTTTTGTGACACGTTTACTGGTTTGGCTCATATTACTGCAGTGCGCTTCTTGGATATATACCAAGTTACCCAGGCCCTCAATACCGTGTTGACGAACCAGAAGCAGCTTTCCGAGATGCGCCGTTCCTGGCAGAAAGTGGACTTTGAATCTGTTCGCAATCAGTCTGCTCTTGTTTGCAATTGTCGTCACGAGGAGCTCGTTCAGCTTCTAGAAGTCGATTTCGTAGGCATGATGGACAGCTTGTCAAAGACTCCTGAACCAGTTAGGGAGGTTATGGCCTGGGCTGACAAATGTTGCGAGAGACTCATGGGACAGCGGATAGGAACTAGCGACGATCGAGGCACCTTGAGTTCCCGAAGTGTCTTGATTCGCTGGGGCTATGTGACCAGTCAGGTTATGAGAGATTTGGTAAGAGCTCCGATGATCGCTCGTCTTCAATTCACCAATAGTCACTAGACCATTCGCAGCGACCCAGCCTTTGGAGCCTTCCAGATCATGAAGCTGTTCTTAGAGTAAGTCGATCTATTTTCCTTTCATGGGACGTCGCTAACGTTACACGCAGTGATTGGATTGCAGTCAATGTTCTACGTAGCGTGGCGCTTTCCACCAACTCCGTGGCTGCATCCGTCGAACCAGTCATGCAGCAACAGTTCTTTTCATTATCTCCCATGGCCGGCCAGGAAAGTTTTAACACCATGGAAACGCGTTCCGCTCAACACGTGATGAACCATACCCCGACCACCTCAAGCATGCTCGCAGCTTTGCAGCAGGACCCATTCCCGACCGGCGCGCTGGACGCATCATCTTCCGGATTTAATGCAGACGCATATGGAGGTTTGAATTATATGGATACTTCAGTTCAGCCGGATGATTCTATCCCTCCCGTCCACCAGTCAGGCCTTTCGTTCTCTGACTATGCGCCCGGGAATACGTTCGATGTTGCGTCATTTGCGACGCAAGATTTGGGCATGAATACCTCTTCAGGTACTAATGGCGAGCAAGATCGCGAGACTGAGCCCGTCAAGACGGAGGCTGGGCCTTAGTCCTGGAAGCTCGATTGAAAATTATACCACTCGGTCAAAGATAGTATCTCCAGTGATTGTATATGTTCCGTTCCGTCATTTATTCATACCTTGTCAGTGTCCTATTTGTATTGCCACTTTTGCTCAGTCTCTTCCCCTGCTTCTCGTACTCATTATTGTATAGGTCTTCATTCTGTCGAATAATACTGATTCCTTCCCGCTCCGGACATAATTTGCAGATATAAGTAGAGGCAGATTTGGTAGTATAAGTGTGAGGTATAAAAGATGTTCCCATTTAGCCTGTACCTAGTTCTCTTCAATGTCCTCCACAAGCTTCTCCTCAAATTTCTCCTCAACCTCATCATCAATCCGTGGAGGTGCACTGCCCGAAGGAGTGGGAGCAGGTTCTGGAGGCTCACTACCGCCATTAGGTGGAGATACGGTCACTTTCCGCTTGCCATTAGGCTTGGCACCATCTGTCAGACGTCGGATCTCCGCCTCGGCTTTAGCTATGTTTTCCGCTGTTTGACGAGCTTGGTTAGCCTCAAACCAAGCTTTCTTCGTCTTCAGGTCCTCAATAACGCGAGGAACATCAGCCTGACCCGTCGGAGGCGGTATAGATAGCGAAAGCAGAGCGGATAATTGGCCGTAGGGTAGATGGATGGCGCTGGTATCAGCTGGAGAGGCGGCTTTGGAGGTTTTCTTCCCTTTCTTTCCTTTTCCAACAAAATACGATTCTTCCTCTTTCTTTTTCAGTGCCACCATGGCCTCCCCAACTGCATCCACCTGTCGAATCTCCAACTGCGGAACACCGGAAACATCCGATTTGACTGGTACTGATGAGGATGACAACACTACATTGCCGGAGGACTTCCCAGAGAGTGCGTCAATGAGAGTCTGGCAGTCTTCAATCTGCGTTTGGAATGCAGGCATTGACGCTTCTTCACGCAGACCGTCGGCGATTGCCAACTTCCTCTGTGCTTCTTCTGCGTCGCGTTGAGCACGAGCTTTCTCAAGACGTCGAGCGCGGTCCTCGTTCACCTTGGTCCAATACCGGTCGTTCGCCTCCCGGAAACGATATGCTGCCTCACGCTTCTCATTGAAGAGAGCGGTTAGTTGTGCCTGAACACCGTCTCGCTCCTCAAAAAGCTTGGTTCGGCCTGCGTACGCCTCGTCTGATTCCTTTTTGAGTCCGTCCAGTTCAGCTTTGATGGTGTCATAACGCTCAGAGATTTCCTTGGACTCCGGGTCATCAAGTAGCTTCTTCAGTCGGTCGGCTTCTTGGCGGTCGGCTTCAATTGACTCTTGGTCTGCCTGGAACTTTTCGACCATTCTACGCGTCCGTCGAGCCTGGCTAATTTCCTGAAGGGCACGCTTTTCATCCACAACTTTCATGCTACCAGACTCTACTTGCTTTTCCAAGTGGCTGAGAGATGAGAAGCATTAGTAGAAGGCAGTGTGCTGTCAAGGGAGTAGGCATACCTAATATGAGCGTCGACATCTGCTGCGGTTTTGTAAGGTGTCTTGCCACGAGCAGCCTGCAGATCCTTTATCTGAATGACACGTTTCATCAGGAAATGGTGAATGCGGGTTGACAGTAGGCGAACCTTTTTTTGAATACCCTCTTGAATCGCTTTGAGCTGCTCATGTGTCTTGCCTCGGTTTAATTTATTGGATGACTGTTGACTGCGTATGCTATCCAGTTCAGCCTTAAGAGCTGCCCGTTTATCATTTCCAGTACTAGGCTGGTTTGCCGAAGATATTTTTTCCCGGACGGCAGTCTAGGCATGGAGTTGTGAGCCTCGCACCGAGTAGGAAGTCGAGTAAAGCGCGTACAAGTTTAGTCTGCAAACCGTCAATTTCAGTTCTGATTCTCTCTTGCTCTGCATCATGTGCAGCCTTATCTGGCTTTCCGGAGCCTGTGGCCGCAGGCCCACCGAGATCGATTTTGGAAGGAGCGGGTGACGAGGGAACCGTGGAGTCAGGCGTCACTTTGGCACTGTGAATTTTCGCAGTACCGTTGCTGGCCGACGATTTGGATTTTGGGGCGGGCATTTTAGCAGGAAGAGATTGTATTAACGAAAATGACCAGGCCAAGTGGTAGAGTAAGCTGCAAGTAGTTGTGTGTGAACTTGAAAGCGAGCGTTTTTTTATTTTATGTATGTATCTATCAAATTGCCGCCTAGAACTCCGGTCTCCGGGACACGTTAGCACTCTTCTCATGCACACTCATGAATCCAAGATAATTAATGTGGTATAAAATACACGATTGCCAGCACAGGCAAAGTTAGAATACAATCTTGTGGTCTAGCTTTGCCACCTCTTTTCGACATTCCTCATACAACTCCCTGTAGTCATCGTCCTTCTCTGCCTCGGCATCCTTCTTCTGAACTTTGCGTTTTTGGTCAGGGCAAATCATAACGCAACTTGTTGGTCGTTTTGTTGAGCTAGCATGGCCGAGTTCCTCCTTAGACGTCACAAAGACATATGGTATCTGAGCTTCTTCTGAGAGCACTGGGAGGTGGGATATTATGTCTATAGGGTTGATATCTGCCGCCAACACAAGCAGTCTAAGAAGATATCAATCGATTGATCAAAGACGAAAGCGAAAGAAGTACATACCCCTTTTCCCCTTTGCGAATGCCCTTGACAACTTCCTTTACACCTCTTTTAACTTGCCGTGCTTTGGAGGCTGAGAAATGATGAGAAGATGAACGAGAATGCAAAAATAAGTAGGCGCACCCTTCTTGATCGTTTTGTGCAGCTTTTTCACAAGCTTTTTCTGCGCCAATGGCTGCGCAAGAGGAGACAAATCTTCCAATGGAATGATGATTTCTTTCTCCTTCTTCGCTTTTTTTGGGGACTAACATGATAAGTACATGAGAATATTTGGGAACATGCAGGCACTCACCTCAGAAGTATCAGCCATTTCTACATCTTCTGCCTCTGCCTCTGCATCATCAACTTTTGGCTTCTTCTCCTTTTTCTCTCGCTTCTCTGATTTAGGCATGTTGCGAGAGTTGACGCCGTAGCAAGGTAATTACTGCTGAAGACAAGAAAGTTCGTGACCTGACTAATGATCCGTCACAAAATCAAGCTGTCACGCTTCATATTGAACAAACACTTTGAAATATTCGTACCCGTAAGTGAAACGTTTCTTGGGTACTTGCGGTTAATATTATATGTGTGTGCACCACTATTAGGTCCACCACCAATCACCGAGTATTGGTTTCATCATTGGCTGATGGCACATCACCACTGCCCCTGAGTAAGCTAAGCCAAACCCAATTCATCCCTCGTACTTCGGCATCATACCACCAATTAAGAGCAATAGTAGTTGGGCCAGATTGCTGTACATAGTGCCACCAGCCAACTGGCAGGTACAACGTATCTCCTGCTTCGAGTGTGATATGCAGTGGGTGAGCTTCTGGGGGCAGTGAGCCAGGAAGGTCCGGGTTGATCACCGAAGACCAGCGAACTTGAGGAGTATCAGAAGAGGGAACGACGCTCAGACCGTTACTATTGTCGGTATAGCCGTAGACTGCGTGAGGATACATCCGTTCTGGGGCCAATTATAACTGTGATTCACATAGCATTGACAAGTCGTGTTACCTTGAAGACACCACCCTTCACAGGGTGGTAAAAGCGTGAAGTGTTTACTTCCACGTATCACAGTATATATATTCTCGTACGGATCTTGTCAACGTGTGAGATGTGGACGGGTCTCCTGGGCGCCATTCAATTAGTTATTACTTACCGCTATGTATACTCGTTATGCTTTTGCTATTCCCGATCCAAATGTTTACGGCATCAGGATTTCTGCCTGTACTTTATATTATGAGTGAGGGGACTCGGCTTAGTTGAGTTCCCACCTAGTGCTTCGGTGACCCATGGGATGTTACTTGGAACATCATCCCTAAGGGCACAAAATTCTGACGAATCATCGTTCGGCGACTCAAAGAAACGGCTGGAATATATATTCCCATTTTGTGATTGGAGATAAGAAGCGGGGAGGTTGTCACCGTCCTGTTCTGCTTAAAATGTGGATTAGCTCGTGTTCGATTTTTAGGAGGTAAACGTGTGCAAGTGCCTGCATTAAGTTGTTCAAGGAATTTCACCATGGAAACTTTCTCGACAAAAGGCTCCACGAAAAAGAACTTGCCTCCTGGGCCAGTTGCAATAGCATCTGCTTGCCTGATCTGCTCTCAGTCACAGAAGCGCTGAAATAAATGAACACTCGCCCATTGGGTGTGATTGCCACTGATACAGGTTGACCTTGCAGATTGGTCTGCAAGTAATCATCGGTCCATCGATTCAAGGCTGGGATTTGAAAACCTGAACTTCATATGACAAGCTGGTCTAAACTGTCTATAGACATGACGAGACCTTTGATGATAGCAGGCCTGGATATGTGGACTAGTTGTGCGAACTCCACTGCTGTCGGAGGGCTTTCGAGGGTTTGAATCGACGAGCCATTCATATCTAAGTAAATTTCGGCAAAAGAATAAGATCGGCCTAAGAATGGACTTGGTTACCATGATACTCTTGTGATATCCATTTTACGATATCGTGGGTTAGGCTGGGCGGTGTTGCTTGATCTAACTCCAGGGCCATCTGTGAGGCTCTGCTCACAATCTGCGGAAATGTGGCCCGATCGCGTGAAAGTCCACAAGATGAGTGTTACTTGAAAAGGCAAGTAGTATTTGAGGTCACATGCAACACGATCTTCATAGTCAGACGCGTTTCGATTCTCGAAACTTTCGATCATTTCCGGTGCTCAAACTTAAAGTCTCCACGCGCTCTGCACGCCTTCAACTCCTTGAGATGTCTGAGAAACGCCAAAGTAGAGTTACACGAAGCACGCGGCGTGCAAAGCAGGTATGTGTGGCATTCATGTGACCCGTTCCTGACGTTGAACGCACGCAGGTGTCCGCTCAGAAGACTCTATATGACTTGTTCCAGAAGGACGAGGAAACGAAACCTTCGGAAGAAGGTTCAAAGGAACTGGACGGAGCCAACGCGTCGTCTTCGATACATCCAATAGATATCATAGTCATTGATGACGAACCAACCCCACCACGTTCTAAGGCACCCCGCAGAGTCATACGAGGTACTATCCGTCAAAATCACAGTGAGTAATGTTTGATGTGAGCACTCTTCTTCTTCATCTCTGGTTCACAGTCCAGCCGACAAAATTGTTTCCCATTTTCGGAACCCCATTCATAACGCCCATCCAGTCTACTCACTCAAGTTCTACAACTGCGAGCAGAGACACCGGTGGAGATATTCTTGAACTATCTGACGATGAACAGCCACCGTCTTCCTCTTCGTCACCTCCAGAAATGGACTTGCTTCACCAATCACCACCAATCACCGTTTTATCATGTATCGAGGATATAAACGCGCCAAATAACAGGCCCGATACAGCCCTGGTACAGGCCACGGCGCTAAGAAGCCGAATATACGTTTCAGGAGATGTCAATCCTCCGGTAAAGCGACATGTGCCCCCAGGCGATATGACGCCGGATGCGCCATATCCAAATAAGGAGACGCAACATGTTCGTGGACTGCAGAATACTTTCAGTGCAAGTTCGGAGCCACCGAAACGTTACAAACGTAGTCCCCCAGATCCTACAGACGACACGTCTTTGGGTTTCCTTTCTTCCGTATTGCAGGGATATCAAGATCCTCCTCTTCAACCGTCAATCTTTCCCCGAATCTCCTCGCAGTCCGAACGTGAAGATTATCTTGGTGCTGACGGGCCTCGTGATGCCGCACATCATCCCGTAATATCTAGATTTTTGGATGGCGAGAATTATACCAATTGGACAGCTTCTGGGCCGCCACAGCAAGAAATATGGACCACCCGCTTCCGCCCCAGGCAAGCGGATGAAGTTCTAGGGAATGAACCGCGTGCGTTGTATATTCGAGATTGGCTCAAAGCTCTCGAAATTCGACTGCATGCCACAAACCCCCCTGCCACGAAAAGTAGTATAACTGGCACAGGCAGGCGGAAGGTCAAGCCGGACGCCCCCGAAAGGGCGCCCAAGCGGCCTCGTGTCATTCGAGCTGTGGATAGAAAGAGAGGCAGGAAACGACGGAGGCTGGATTCCGAGGACGAGTCAGATGTTTTTATTGCTGGCAGCGACGACGAAGACGATACCATCCCGGATCAGCCAGGGCAGGAAACCGATGACGATGATTTTAATTTTTGCCAGCGGACGCTTTCCCGTCTCCAGCGAAAGGACAATTCGCTGTTATTAGAGCGGCATCCACCGACCTCAGACATTGGTGTCGACACCATCCCGGCCAATCCAGATTATCAGTCCTCCGACGCTAATTTTACCGATATTCTAACGAATACACTTATTATAACTGGGCCTCCAGGGTGTGGGAAGAGCGCAGCAGTTTATGCGTGTGCAGGCGAGCTGGGGTGGGAAGTTTTCGAGGTTTACCCTGGGATTGGAAGACGCAGCGGCGCAAACCTCGATAATCTAGTTGGAGACGTGGGTAAAAATCACCTCATTCAACAGACGAGGCCAAAATACCGGACGGCAGCTGCACAATGTGAATCAAGAGCAAGCGCTGCTCTTTCGACGCTCTTCCCTAAAGGAGGGAAAGTCAACCCCAAACCCTCGCCAACACACTCAGATACCGAACATCCTAGTGATGTTGACACACACGTCCTCGTGGATGCTGCCAGTGAGTCCCTGCAGGACACGGTGGAACCACCTGTAGCCGTTGATGAACTAGTTGGCTCATTAAAAACAAATGGATTGGCGAAACCGTCTACTACTGCTCGGCAATCACTCATTCTCCTTGAAGAAGTCGATATATTATTCAAGGAAGACGCTGGTTTTTGGCCGGCAGTGATAGACTTAATCAAGGAGTGCCGCCGGCCCGTGATCATGACATGCAATGGTACTGTGCTCTAATCGTGTCGATTTTTCCAGAACTCAATCTCACCTTGACAGACATTAAACTTGTCCCCGTCGCGGATCTTCCTCTGCAATCCGTTCTGATGTTCCAACCTTGCCCTTCCGAGCCCGCTGTCACGTTTTTGCAATGCCTTTGTGTAACACAGGGATACGCTATCCCAAGAGATAAGTTAATCGAGCTTTACGAAACCACGTACATCGTGCAGAGTATGGATCTTCCAGACGCGCCGCTCAACCCCAGAACCGAACCACCACCACCACCGGATCTCAGGCGATCTATTACTCAGCTGCAATTGATTTGTACTGACGCCACCCACGAAGCTAAGGTCCCTCAAGAAGCACAGGGGGCCGCTGAAAACTTTTCGTCACTCCCTATGACAATTTCCGCCCAAGGCAGTGCTGATGTTTCTGAGACATCGACGGAGGAGCTGTGGCGATGGGCTTCCACTTACACGGATTGTGTTTCGTATACAGACAGCTATCTCTGCAGGGCGCCATTGGATGGACATGAGGTGAGGGCAACAAAACACATTTTTCCCGCCGCTTTCCTGACATTTCACTATCTGAGGCCCTGTCATACAACTTATCTGAATCTTTGCTTGACGATGAGTTGGGTCACGCCATACTAATCCGGCCATCCCACGTCTCTGACACGAGAGATGCACTTGCCTTCTATCACAATGACGAGCTCATTGTGCAGGATGCCATCCACCTTTCACGTGGTAAACACGAGGTTTTGGGTGGTATTCCGATCACAACGTCGATCAACCCCGCGGCTAGTGGTTCTAATACTGACATGGAAACCAGGCTCTTCCGAGCTCGCGTGGAGCATCAAGCACAGATGCTAACCGCATTGCAGGACATCGTTCAACCACCCGCACCTCTCATGCCCCAGAGCAGCGTGTACCTTGATTACATACCGTGGGTGAGATTTATGGTTAAAGTGGATGATATTCTTGAGCGATTAGCGTGGGATGAGATGGAGAAGGTGAAGTCTGGGAGATTAACGAGGAATAGTATGAAGGCGAGACATATACGGACTATTGATTTAAGAGAGGATCAACATCGGGCGTTGGTTGCTACTAGAATCCAGGGGCTCGAGGAGGGTTGATGGAACTGTGGATATTTTACGAGAGTTGCTGTGTTGTAGCCCTGCGATAAGCCTGTGATCTGAATTCTCGTGTGATGGTATAGCCTGGTATACTCAGGCATTTCACCGGTGTTGTAAACTTTCCCTCCTCCTTGCCAACTGAGTGAGCAGAGAAAGGTTTCATGAAAGCTGAAATAGGAATAAATCTTGGCAAACTTCACTCGTTAATTTAACCTTTTTTGGAGGTGAGCGTTGCCACGTGCTCTTAACCCACGTTGCTGTACGCCGTATCTGGTAACTGAGTTTTAGTTCTATAACGTCGACATTCACAAAGTCATTCACATCGACCATCCTTGGGCCGTCTCTTGACTCCTCTTCAACATTCTATTTACTCAATCTAACACAGGCATAATGCCTGCATCTACAACGACTGCTACGATCAAGCATGTCAATCTTTATTCTCAACCGAAGGATACTGGCGGCGGCACCCCTGCACTGAAAGATGTATCCAGACATTCCCCAGTCATTTCTCTTCCCCCTCTCGATTATTTACAGCAGCATCGCAGGGGCTCCATCACAGATCCATCTCTACATGCTGCTTCGGCGAATTCGTCTACAGGTCCGCGTCATATAGATGGTATTGATTTTGGTTCCCGTGCTATCATCCGAGTCCGTCGCTAATGCGTCGGTATCCTCTCAGGACCACGTCCAGCTGCCAATTACACTTTCGGTGATGGCGGCGGCTCAACGCACAAGTCTGAGTCTTCAAGTAAACAAATGCGCAAAATATTACGTTCCCCATCGGTAGAATGGGAGCCTGCAAAGGGTATTGCACCTCTACAGACATCACTTCCCCCAAACGGGGGAACCAGTGAGTTTGAAGCATCATTTGTTGTACGCATCTTGTGAACATAAAGGTGGCAACGTTGTCAGAAACCACCGATCACATGAACGTGGACAGCAGTAATGAGAAACAATCGCCCAGATTTAATACACGACAAGCAGAAGACAGTGATCACAGTTCACGAAGGCAATCGATTGCTGTAAGTCACTGACGTCATATTCGAAAAACCGATTTTGACAGATCTACAGAATTCTTCGGATTCCCAAATGCCACATGGAACGAAACGAAAGACGTCTACTTACAGGGAATCAAACGCAAGTGACGACACAGATTCGCAACTGGTAGGACCTGGGGTACCTAGTCCCATGAACATCGATTCAGAAGGACGCGCACAAAAACGGCGAGGGTCGACCGTCGAGATGAGTAGGATAGCCCAGCTGAGCATATATGACCAGAGGCGACATTCAGTGCATGCTGGAGCGATAGCGTCAAGGGCGGGCCCAGGGATCTCGGGAGGAAATGGGCACTGGTGGTTGAATGAGAGACGGGATTCTCTACCTCCATCGTTCCCAAACGGGACCACTAGTGGCTACCCCTCGGCATTATCCGGCGATCAGCCACATGGTCGACCTGCTGCACCCTCGACGCCAGGCAGCATGGCGACTTTCGCGTGGTCTGCAGCACAACACCCGGACGGCTCGCAAGATCCTAATATACAGCACCATCCCCGTTCTTTCGAAACACAACCTATGCAGATGACCATGATGCCCCCGATGACATTTCCGCCAGACAGGCGGATGTCGGTGCCAGAAAGTTCGACTTCTACAATAGGCCCGACAAGAAATATCCGCTCACGGTCCCGACCTCCATCACGTCAATTACGCGAAAATAGCCAGACTGTCACTACTGCTGTAGGGCCTGCGCCACCTGCGGAGGAGCCTACTTCGGCTCCTTCTCCGTCATCTAGCCTGAAACCGCCGAAGGAGCCGGGATCTACACCTTACTCTCGTTCACCCGAGCTGCGAGTTTCGCATAAGCTTGCCGAACGAAAGCGACGGAAAGAAATGAAAGACCTATTTGATGAGCTGCGGGACCAGCTACCCGCAGATCGGGGCATGAAGGCAAGTAAATGGGAAATACTTAGCAAAGGTATGCAGACCGGGTTTCTACACGCGCGTCAATCCTTGACATAATGCATGCAGCTATCGACTTTGTTACCAATTTAAAACAAAGTCACCAAGATATGGTTCGTGAGATCGAGATGCTGAGACACGAGCTGGAAAGCATGAGACAAGGCATACCATCTTTTGGTCCAGGAGCACCACCCCACGCTATGGTGTATGGGCAGGGCGCACCAGTTCCAGGACCTTATCCACCACCTCCAGGAGCGATCTCCCATCCTCCACACCCGCATCAGCAACCGCCCCATCCGCCTCAGCCACGACCGCCATCGTCGGACAATCCATATCCAGCAACATCCACCACCCTTCCTCCAGCTCCAGCAGGAGCACCACCAGCAACCAATGGTGTTGCGAGCATACCAGCGAACAAGTCAGAGGTACAGCCGATGTAGTTGGTGGACCTGTTCTGGTCTTTCCTGGCCTCTTCGCCTCTGCTGAATTCTACGATTTCTTTAAGTTACGAGCTTGTGATAGTCTTAGCATGGTTGTTCTCATTTTTATGGACAAATTTTCACGATCACATGAAGTGTATATAGTCTTCTCCTTAGGTTTCCTCTCGTCGCAATTGCTATGATGACTATCAAGCATCCTTCAGATCATCTGCCTTGTCCCGATGATCAGGCATAGGAGAAAGAAGCTAGCGCTACATGCTAATTGATTAAATTACCTGCCTTATGTCAGCATGTGAGCCTTGTTCTCCAACTGCCACTTGCTGCTCCCTTGTGAAAACAAAATTATATACATGCTCTCTGGCGATTCTGTCCTTTCTGCTCGTTAACTCGTCGCTGTCCTAGTTGTCTTCTGCGCTGATTTCCTGATACCACCATCAAGACTCGTCTTCACTCCGGATTCAAGCTATCTTTACAATGCCACCAAAATCGGCTGAATCTCTTCTATTTCACAAGAAGAAGCCAATAAAGAAGGAGCCCTCTACGCCGTCGACGACTTCACAAGGCTCTCAACCATCCCAATCACAGCAATCCCAGTCACAGCAATCCCTCCGCAAATCCGTTACTCCCCGCATACAGCCTACCCCACCTGCTGGTGATGCAGATGACAGTTCTAAGCTCCCTGATGGCGAGTTTTCCGAATTCAAGCTTATGTCCTCTGCTCTCAATGGGTGGAAGTATGATGTTATGAAGTTTGATTCGAGAAAGACTATAGACATATCAACCTGGGAGGAGCCGATAAAGTTGAACAGGAAGGAGTTGAGAAGGGAAGAACCTGGTTCATCCTCTCAAGTGCCTGCGGGACATATGCTGGGGCCTGACGGGAAGCCTGTTGTTGGCTCAGATGGAAACATCGTTATGGTTGACGCGGATGGTCGACCGATAGCGAAGGACGGTGCTGAGGCTCAGTCGAAGGACAAGGACAAAGGCAAAGCTGGTGGGCGGAAGAAATTTCAGAAGAAGACACGGCAAGTGTTCTTGGTGCCTGAGGCAATCCGTCAGCTGCGACGCGAGGAGCGTTACCCCTGGGTGATGGAGGACGCAAAGCAGAACGAGATGTGGGTAGGAAAACTGGAGGAGGTGGCAAGGGCGGAGACACACGCTCTCTTTATGCCAGCTGCACAAGAATTTTTCAAATTCGTACCTGCAAATCGCTGGTACAAGTTCCAGAAGAAGCCTAAACATCACATCCCTGGATTAGAGGAGGCGGAGGCTCTGGTATCTTGTTTACTGCATATGCATTGCTGTGATCTGATGCTCCCCATCAGATGGCCAAGATTCAGAAGAATAAGGACCCGGAACGTTGGCTGCTACGCCGGAGAAAAGAGCAAGGACTTTCGTCGGCAACAGCGGAGACGTTCAAAGCGGAGGCAGAAAACCGTGTTATATCTGGCAGCTCGTCACTAGTCTACTCGTCTGGACAGAGTCGAGCTGTGGGTGGACGAGCACTCCGGACAACAAACCGTGGGGCTCATGGTGGCGGCGACGACGACGACGAAGGCGGTCCCAGAAGAAAGAAGGAGGAGAATGATATGGAAGGAGACTTGGATGAGCAACTTTTTGATGATGAATTTGCGGATGACGATGAGGCAGGTCCTGTTGATATGGACGAAGAGGAGGCCAAAGAGTTAGAGGTATATCAGCCGTCCGTTATTCTCATTGTAGCGCTGACATCCCCACAATAGGAACGTCTCAAACGAGAGTATAAGAGTGCCAACAAGACCCGCGAGGGCTACGTCGACGAGTCGGAGTCTGAGGATGGAGAGAGTCAGCTGACGAAGGACGGCAAATCTCTGAAGAAACTCATGCGCAAGCTGGAGAAGAACGCAGCATACGATAGCGATGAAGAGCGTAATCCGTATGCGAGCTCAGTGTGTCCCTTTCCTAACTCCCGTGTGTGCGTGCTAATACTACGGCAGAATGACGAGGAGGAGGAGGAAGAAGAACCAGTTCCTCCTCAAGAACCACCTCAAGAGACTAAATCTCGATCAGCTTCTCAACAACCAACTCCGAAACCATCGCAGCCGCCCACCAGCACTGCTCAAAACGGTTCTGCTGTTGGCTCTCGCGCTACTTCGCCGGCGCCTGCGAGCATGGGCGGTCATTCTATTGTTGCAAAACGCGCCACAAGTCCCAAAGCACCGAAACTTAAGACAACTTCTACAAACAACGGTCGCGTAACTAGTGGACAGGGTACTGGAAGTAGGGCAGCCAGTCCCGTCACTGGTAGCAGGGCAACTAGTCCTTCACCTCTAGCAAAGGGTCCAGGCAGCCCGACGCCAAATGGACAACCAACGTCGAATAAACGCAAGGCCGCTGATGAGCTCGGCGGTAATGCGGCGTCGGCGGGCGCTGCAGTGAATGGTGCACCGAAGCCGAAGAAAACGGAAACCGCTCCCCACCGGCCCACCCCCGGACGGCGAATTGGAGGAGAAAATGCTCGTCAAGTGGTTACAGAATACGCCCAACGCGACGACGCGGGACTGTATTCAGCATTTCACGCCTTACTTGACTACAGATGCGAAGAAGGCGAAGTTTACGGCGATGGTGAAAGAGGTCGCTCAGCTGAGGGGGGGTATCCTAATCTTGAGGAATAACGAGGCTTCTGCAGCTGCCTCGCCGACATCTTAACTCACTGTGACTTAGGGAATTGTACTTTAGATTTCTATGAACGACGACATCGTGTTCTGGATTGATCTAGGTCCTATGAGGTTTTATGCAACTGGTTTGGTCGGATAGCCTTGGGATAACCCAAGTGGAAGAAAAACTGCATCACATTTATGTTCATGGTCGAGGTCAGTCGACATCTTCCAGAGTATATCATAGGCGATTCTTATGGTCCTCTGTAGGCACTAGTACTCTTCGGAGGCATTCAATTCGTGCCAGTCGGTGGCCGGTCAGGCTGGCGGGGACCAATCATATTGCAGCAGCATTAATTGCAACAATTCACGGAGGGTGATAAACTCTTCGGCATCTCTGCAGGCATACTGAGCATATCACAACGTTCGAGATGAGTTCGCTTTCTACTGGTCAATGATGCTGTCTTGCTCGCCTGTTTTTCAAAGGCCACGCGGGACGTCTTAAGATCTTACTACTGTCGAGCAACTCAGGCCAAGGTGCATGACCAGCGTCATGCTCAAAAATCAAATGCCAAAAAAGGAAGTTAGTATTCGTGTTGGGTGGCTAACCAGCAGAATGCCTTTGCCCACCACATAAAATAGGCAGCTTGGTTCGTCTTTCTCATTCTCTCTTCCTTCCTCCTTCCATCACCTCGCTTTTTCCTTCTCACTCACTATTATACCAGTCCTCTCTTTTCGTTCGTCTTCTACATATCGCCATGTCACGTCTCTCTGCTATCCTCCTCCTCGCCACCAGTGCCGTCTACGCGTCCGTCACCCCCGCTCACGAATCTCATACCGAGAACAAGCCTCCTGGTAACAGGTGGTATCATGAAGACGATCATCCAGTACATGCCCTCTTCAAGCGTGGACCGGTCGGCGATGGTATTATTTATCCCGCGACAGGAACGCCCGGTAAGCCTTTGTATCTAATTTTCTTCACTCTCGCTTACTCAACGCGCATGTTCAGAATGGTCCGCCGGCTTCCCCCCAGCTACTGCGGATACAACAATGCTCCCCCAGGCTTGGGTGGATGCTCTTAACGCGGCCGCCTTGGCGGGCAAGATTCCCGATATTCCTCAGTCTACAAGTACCAACGGATTGGATCCTGTATACCCCACTGGATATGACCCGATGAGCGCGACTGTTTGCTCCTCAACTGCCAAGTGTGTTACGGCAGGTGACGTGTGGGATGCTCCGCCGGGTGTTATCGCCCTTAGTTTTGACGATGGTCCGCTACCGGTACGTCCCTAGTTATTGGAATGCGTTGCTCAAACGATAGCTGATCCATCGCGCAACATCCAGGCGTCAGATCAGCTGTATCAGTTCCTTGCTAACCATTCGGAACATGTGACGCACTTCTTCATTGGCACCAACATTCTCCTGTATCCCGAGGAGTTCAAAATCGCCTTCGAGACGAACCAGGATGATATCGCCGTTCACACTTGGACTCACCCATACATGACCACCAAGTCGAACATCGAGATCCTCGCCGAGCTCGGATGGACGATGGAACTCATCCACAACTCGACGGGCGGGCGTATCCCTAGGTACTGGAGGCCGCCTTACGGTGACTCCGATATGCGCGTCCGGGCTGTCGCAAAGGAGGTGTTCGGGCTCACAACCGTCATCTGGAATCAAGAGTGCGTGATTCTACTGAACACGAGTCCATGATTACCGATACCGACTTCATTCTAGCACTGATGACTGGACCTTGAGCGAGCCTGTCCCATTGACCACGCCAGAAAAAATCCAACAGCAGATGACACAGTGGTTGACCGGTATGTTGTTGTCATCATTGTGGTGTCTGATACTGATCATGCCATGCAGGTTCAAAGACCCCCGGACTTGTCATTTTGGAACACGAGTTGTCTGATCTATCCGTCAAGTCATTCATAGACGCATACCCGATGATGGTTTCGAATGGCTGGACAAGGTTATCTCTTGCTCAGTTGGATGCTTCAGCCTACCAGAACGCCTGGAACTCAACATCGCAAGTCATCCCAGCAAAAGTAGGCGACTTGGCCGTTAAGCCCCCGGCTCGTCCCAGTACTACTGCAAAACCGATGGCAACCACTGCAAAAAAGTAAGTTGATTTTCCTTCAGTGTCAACGCAACTGATTATATGACAGGCCGACTTCGTCCTCGGCGCCGTCGTCTGGAAAACCTACTTCTACCAAGAAGCCTCTTGGTAACCAGAAGAGCGGGGCGACTCACTTCAGCGTCGCGTCCCTTGCACTTACTGGCATCACCGCAGCCATCGTCGCAGCTGCAGTTGGAACTATCATGGCATAAGGGTACCGGAATTTTGCAAGAGACATTCAT